TCGGGTAGATACACGAGAACGCAAATTTGATTCTACACGTGCGTTCCGCGGAGACGAATCGCTCTCGCGTGTGAGAATACGCTCGACACATCGCTCGGATGGGCTCTCCGTCACGCCGGTCACGCGCTCTCGTATAATACGTATACCGTATGCGTTATAACGTGTGCAACGTTGAAAGGCGGCCGGCAGCCGACCCTGCAGCCGACCCTCTCCCCGTTCGCGGCGGCTGGTGAGTTAAGCTCACATCCGCACGTGAGTCGAAGCGGAAGGAAGGGGACGTGACGTCGCGATTAAGGCGAATTAAACGAGGCGAATTGCATGAATCGGCGAGAGCTCGGCGAGCACGGAGGAGGAGTCACTCACGCCGGCCCACGTTTATCGGCGGGAGGTTGCTCTCAGGCTTGCCTAACTCTCGCGAGCACTCGCGAGTGGGTTAGCATCATCGTGTGCGACGGAATGCGACAAAATACGACGGAAATCGTCAACCTGATCGTGAACTTTATGCATTCTCTCTCTCTCTCTCTCTCTCTCTCTCTCTCTCTCTCTTTTTCGCGGTCTCCGATCCTGATTCAGGAAAAAAGAAGAGATATCATATCGCGAGCTGTTTACAGATTATTACAAATTATTGCTGTGCAAGTTGTTTCGTTTTTCGATAAATCGATTTTGAGAGACTACACGCGATCAATTTCTCTTCATCATTTTTCCTTCCGCATCTTTAAGTTTAAGTTAATAAGAATTAAGTTAATAAGAAATTTTGTTACCAATTATGAATTTAAAATTGAATTATCCTTCGCTGGTCTACGCGGTGTCTCAAGATGAGTTTTTTACTCGACTGACGCGTGAAACTCGGGAAACAACCATGGCGACATTTACATTATAATAATCGGAAATGTCAGAGCGGAAATATTGCGAAGAAAACGGGCGTTCGATAAAACACCGATAATGCAGTTTTTAATGTAGGGGAGAGGGAGGCTCTCTCTCATCATCGTATGTCATCGTCGAGAGGGAACTCGCGTTATAGGTTCACGCGAGCATGCAAAACCTTTTGAACGGACGCAGCATCCTTGAAACGCGTAAATCCAGCCGTTCCACTGACATTTTCCGTGGATGGATATTTTTACTGCACATTGCGTAATTGTATCTGGACGGATCTTACGCCAGATATAGGGATGCTGTGCCTAGGGGAAGGGGGAGGGAATAACTCGCGTACACATTACATGTGGGCGGGAAAGGGTAAAAGTTGAAATTAGACGCCTTTGACGGCTGAACTTTGCTGATAACCGTTTGCATGAGACAATATGTGTAACGTTCCTGGAACCAGGTGCGTCCTCCGCGAAGCGGAGCGTAACGGTTCCGTTTAATGTTACCAACGTCAACGTCAGCCCTTAAAGGCTGCCATAAATGACAATTCAGGGGTAATTTTACGTCATCGCTATTGATTAGTCTTACGTATACGTTCACTCCGGTGCTAAAAAGCAAGCGAGCTGAAGAAAATTAATAGAAATCCATTTTGCGAAGGCGGTAGGATGTCGTTTTATGCAATCGCATCATTTCATTCATCGCTGACAGCATTCTATAATCGGAATATATTTCTCTCTCTCTCTTCTCTGCATGCATCATCTTATTTTATCCATCCATTGTCCAAAGCAGGGCTTAAAGCATTTGACTTTAAAATTACTCAATTTTTTATTCTCTCATCGTGAAGCGCATTAATTGAGAATTAAAAGATCTCCTCGGAATTTGGCCGAGCTTTGGACCATCCATTATAATTAACGAAACCCATCTATAATTTTATATAATAAAAGGCATACATATCAAATATCGGAATATACACACACTGCAGACATTAATAATACCGGTTGCACTTTCGGTTTAGATCTTTTCGAGATGTGCATATCGTGTCTAGGTGTCTAGGATTTTTAAGCATTCGACGTGTGTAAAAGATTAAACGTACAATTCATGTAATTTGTACAATAAATTAGATAAAAAATGTAATTTTATATTTTTTATCAACGGCCATGATGCGTGAATATCTATATGCGATATGCCCGTTTTTCGAATTGTTAAAATTTCATTTCAATCAATCAATTTTATACGTTAAGACATTTTTGGGCGATTCCCCGTGTAGTATATTCTAATATTTCAAATGTTTCTTGTGTGTTATATTAGCGCGCATATAAAGTTATAAATAGAGTTCTATCCCGAACTCCGTCGCGAATTATATCTTCTGATGTAGATTTTAAGGTGGATCCTTAGAAAACTTGGGGTTATTTTAAATTGTAAGTCCCTTTGATCCGTGTTCAGCATTTCGTTTATATCGCTACACGTGGAGATACGCCCACGTATGGGTTGAGAATTGAAGAGGATAGGAGATCATCCAAGAATTTTGATTCTCTCTCGCACAGTTACTTTGTCATTGACGAGCATTTTCTCGAAAAATGACGTAAGTCCTCTGTGGCGTCATTTATTTATATAGAACAATTACGGTCACTATAAATGTCCTCTTTGATACCCTATAACTTTTACGTGAGTCATTTTTTTTCTGTTTTCTTTTCTGTTTTTTTTCCCTAAAATCAATACTTGAGGAGGTATATTAATCTACCACGCACCTTACCCTGGATATGGGCTCGGTCGGCCGCTTGGTCTTGCTCGATAGTTTCACAACCTTCAAAGGTCTCTCCGTTGACATATCGAGATTGTGAGCGTTATTTCCTATAAATGTTCGAAACCTTTCCATATTTTCGCGCATACTATAACGAACGTTATACGATGCTATACTATCTCGTTTACGAGTCGCTATAAGAAAGTTGGATAACCAATATCTTTCACGAGAAAAATTATTCGCAGATTCGAAATCTAAAGCACCGAAAGTGGAAATATTTCCAGCAAAATGGAAATATCGATTGGTTACGTAAGATAATTCTGAATTGTTAAACAAGTAGCTTGCCAATAAGTTGTTTCGAAGAGATATCAATAAATAAATATCCGACGAATGTATATTAAATTCGTTTGCAAATTCATATAACGATAGGACTTGATAAATTTTCTCTTTATTTCTTTTTTCCATTTATTCGCGTGTTATAAAAAATAACAAAATATATTTGGGATTAAATATTAGAGAAAAATGACATTTTCTGTTCTCTCGTTTATCGCGCTTGAGATTGCCCTTGCGGCGAATAAAACGTCACGTTGGAGGAGACGACGTCGAGAAAGCGATGTTCTATGAATGGAGGCGAGCCTCGGATCAGTCGGCAAGCAAGGACAACTAATTATAGCGTTAGATCTCTCAACTTGGTTTTCTACATTAACCATACCCCGTCCACGCGTACGCGCGCACGCGTGCGCGCGTGTATTGTGGAACGCTTAGTCCGAGATTATGCTTTGAGGACGTGACCCATTTTGATTGTCGTCGTCGTGTCGTCGTCGACGACGTCGCGGTCGCGGTCGGTAGCGAGGCCTGCGTCGTCAGCGCGGGGATGCGAATTCAGGACAGCAAACGCGTGCGTCACACTTACCCTTGTCCTGTTGTCGACACCTGGTGTCTCGCGCGACGTCTACTAATAAATTACGAGACTGTTACGCGTGTTATATATGATGTACACGGATCCTCGTACATGCAGAATATGTATGAGCTCCCATCGGAACACCTGATCTCAATTTAAACGAATCCTTGACACATCCATGGCAGATATTTCGTTAATTGAAAATATAGATCGATTAAAAAAAATAAAATAAAATTTATCCAACGTAAAAGTCAATGCAAGGAGATATTAAATGCACCGAGAAAAATTTGATTTAAAAAATTCTCATTTTTTTATCACGAAAAACTCCCGGTATTTTAATCAAGAATAAAGCGAACTAACTGGTGAATTAATTGAAAAACTCACCGATAATATATAAATGTATTAAAATATAGAGATTATTTCTCGCATTTTGTTAATTAATTTTGAAATGTGTGGAAAGAAATTTTTACATTGATAAATGGGGACGCACGTGTGCGTATCTTTTAAAACAAGTTAATGATAGATTGTCTTGCGCTTGGGCGGCTGCCACAATGCGGGAGCGTTTAAAAAGGCACAATTAAGCTAAAAGTGTAGTATACTTGAATTAACTGCCAGTGACACCGTAAAACAAAGATAAGGTCGCGCGAAGTAAACGCCGCGTGAAAGCGATTGCATCACTAATTATGGCGATGAAAGAGGGTGGGTGTGTATACACACGAGTGAAATTGCATTCATACTACTGTGGAAGTTGAACAAATACGTCGACCACGCTTGCTAGGATACGTCGGTACGAAGTTTCCGAAACTAATTGATAGCAATTCTGCATGTCTAAAGCATATACTTGGAGTTGAAACACAGTAGAATATCGATTTAACCCTTCGACGCGCAATATCATTCTCATTTCGTACAATTTTCTTATCCAATTGTTATCTAACATAATTTCATTTAAAATATTATGAATATTATTCACATATATAATATAATTAAGTTTTTATATTATTGTTATGCAATTTGACGAAAGAATGAAATTTAATACGATACTCGACAAGCTGCTGTAAAAGCAGATCATAATATAACATTTTAAAACTGTACGAAATAATTAAATAAAATATCATATATAATGTTTCTTTTACGACAAACAAAGCACAACTTGCTTGAAGCGAGAAAGCTTTATTTTCTTTATGCCAAATTTCTAGAAATATACTTATTACATTTGAGCTATTATATTCTTTCAAAAATATGTGATTTATAATTCGCAAAGGATTGTGTGTAGGATCTTGAGTAAATATATACTGGATAAACAATTTTTATTCCTTTTTTTATCATGCTACGAAGTAGCTTGATATTTTTACACGAATGTGATGTACATATACATATATACGTTAAATCTTAATTTTGCAAGTACAAATTAATATTACTGCTGCTACTTGGTATAAGACACAAAAAGTGAAAAATCACTAATAGGAACTTAAAGTTAAAAATATAAAGCTAATAATATTTGTGTGAAAATTTGTCATAAATAGATCTTTTATTGTTCGATGCAAGACAAAATGTGCAGATAATAATTAATTTCCAACTATTTAGACGATTCATAATTACATCATCAGAATACGTCATAATATATCGCAGAATCTACATTATTATGTTTCGAATTTCATAGTTTGTTGAAGAAACTTGGAATTAATTCACACTAACGCTACATACGATATGAATAACATTAATCTTGCAGAATTATACAGAGAGGAACAACTTAAAAATATTTTTCAAGATGATCCTTTAGTTTGTGCGGATCTACATTAGGACCGTGCCGTTCGACGACCTTGCCCTCTTTATCTACGATAAACTTGGTAAAATTCCATTTTATGAAATTACCTATCAAACCGCCTTGCTCTTTCTTCAAATATGCCCAAAGGGGATGCGTGTTGTCTCCGTTTACGTTGATTTTCTCGAACAAGTCGAATTTCACCTGTGAATAATATCAAATACAAATGTCATCAATTTGTAAAGAAAGGAAGAAGACAATTATTTCATTTGAACGGAAATATTACTTTCTGACGATCGGCGAAACTGCAAATCTCTTCACTGTCTCCTGGCTCTTGTCCATTGAATTGATTGCAAGGGAATGCTAGAATTCGTAGTCCTGGCGGACGACAAAGAAGATATTTAAACAAGTTCAATCTCATTGTTAGGAATAATTTTCAATTTTGCGCAGCACAAAAAAATTACCCTTAGATTCGGCGTACTCGTCGTACAACTCATTCAATTCTTTGTAATTCGTTGCTGTAAGGCCGCATTTCGAAGCAACATTCACGATCACACACACGTGGTCTTTGTATCTAGACCAACAACACAGATGTTATTACATCTTTTCGACAACACAATATTTTCGGTACAGTTGAGAATTTATGCTTACTTGGACAAAGGGACTTCTTCTCCTCTGATAGAGTTCGCCGTGAAGTCGTAAATCGACGTAGCTGATTTATAATCCATGTTTCCGCTCATCGCTGCTGCAACTACAATTGCGAAAATTTTCAAATAATAAAGAAATTTTATTTTATTTGCGCATCGCAAATAAAAGGTAATTTATTTTACAAATTGGAGAAAGTTAGTTCAATTGTCATTCGTTTTACTTTTATTTACAATCCGACGTTAATTCATTTCTCTCTTTCACTCTCTCTTTCTTTTAATCTATATTAGTCATTGTAATCCGCATTTTTTAGTAAATTAAAACACTTTTCTAAAAATAAAACACTCCATTAGAATTTCAACCTTTATGCTTTTCAAAGTAAACTAATTAGTAAATAACAAAAATGCTGCATATTTAATAGTCGCATGCATCGTTATTCTGTATGTGCAGAATAATTGCTTTTGAAACATATTGCAACAATGTTTATATTAAAAAAGCACCAAGATATAAATAAACATAATTGAACGCAGATCGCGAAAGGCGAACAATTTAATAAATGTAATGTAGTTCTCTACTATAATAAAAAATAAAAAAAACAGAGATCCAAGTTTGCTTAATGTAAATTATTGAATAAAAAAGTATTAATTGAAATAAATCATACAAAAATAATGCTGAAAACATATGCCACATTATTATGATTATTTAACTATAACATTATAAAGAATAATTGAATCAGATAAGATTTTTTGAAAATTTTCACTATTTCTCATTTTTTTCTAAAACATTTAAATCTAAATGCTAATTTATTCGAGAGCAAATTATTATACATACAAATAATTCTCATATACATATACTGATTTGTTTTATACAATTATAGATTATTTCGACAATAATTGCCGTTATTTGTGCTATTAGATAAATGTCTATCATTAATTAGGGGAAATGATGCAATAATGAGAAGCAATTATCAAATTACGTGCCTGCGAAGTTTCGGGCTAAATTCGTAAGCCCAATGGGTAGCATAAATTTTATAATGCGCATTTCCGGTGTATGGAAGCCCTCGCTTCTGAAACTGTCGAGATACCAGAGTCGAGTACAGGGGATATTATACTGTAGTGCGAGCTCTAAATAAGTTGAAAAACAATATAAAAAATTCAAGAACTCTATTGCTATCCGTTTTAGTTCCTCGTCATTATAAATCTATGAGTATATGCGAACTGAACATCTGTTTGCGCTTTGCGACACATTTGCGGTAATTTATTGAAAAACAATCTTGATTTTAAACAGCGTAAAATATTTTGCTTCTTAAAGTACGTATAAAAGAAATTGATTAACACTCGTCTTTATTAATGATTGTAAATTATTAATAAAAACAATTCTTGGTATAAAGAAATATAAATAATATAAGCAAATCGTAAAACAGTACGATTATGTCCGAATTGGTGGACAAATTGTCAATAAAACGCGATGACCGTGCAATTTTGTTGTAAACTGAGACATAAAAGGATGAATCGACGACGGAACGTTGAACATTGGACTTATCCAATCAATTCATAATGAGAACCAATACATTTACTTCTTGTATTCCATTTTATAGATTTTTACTCATTCAATGTTTATTTTTACAAAAATTCATATAAAAAATTTATAATTTTTTTTTTTTTTTTATTATTATTATTATTATTCAATACCTCAGCGTTATCATGGTATAATTAAAAAATAATTATTTTTTCCTAATATAATAAATTGTAATACACAATATTATTTGTGAAATAATGAATAATTATACAATTGAGACGTATAAATTAGATTTTATTCATTCAAAATTAGAGTCTCTCTCTCTCTCTCTCTTCATTTAGTGACAAATGATTTCTGCCATACTGTGTACTGATAACGGAAGTTGGATTAACGCAATTATAATTTTTTAAATAAACACTCAATTATAATTGCGGCGTATGACAATCGAAAGCCATCTACCGTGTGCCAATCTAACCTCATCTTGCAGTCAGCTTGCAGCTGAATGCATTCTGTATGCGAGAATCTACGCCGCATTATGTCCAACTACGTTACAGATTGACTATTGATACATTTCGCCGATTCAGAAATGTTTTATGCCACCGTTTTCGAAATGCATGTATTGTGCGTGTCTTTTATGCTGTTAGATCAATTTGTTTTACCGTTGAGACAAGTACGTACTCACCAAAGATTCTCTGAGGAAATAACACAAACCAAACACTGGAAGGTACTATCTCACACTGACTTGACCAGTCATGCTAGAAGAAGCTTCTAAAGCGCATGTGCGGTAATCTAACCTTCAAGTGCTCGATTGCAGTAGCGGATCGAGGCATTTTGAAACCATGGACATATAATTTGAGAAAAGTTCTACATAAATGCGCATATAATAAGTTAAACTTTACAAGCGTTAAAGAGTTTTTCGAATTTTATCGAAAATTAGATTTAGATCTAAATTACTAATCATATATTGTACATCTCTCCTTTGCGGTTTACCCTTTAGTATTGTAGAGAAATAACAATCTTTAATTTAAAAAAATTATTTTTTTCTTTTTTCAGTACATTGGTATCATGGAAGGTATTCAGACAGGAACTGAATCAAGTTCATCCGATTAGTTCGGGATTGCAGGCGATGGCACTGAAATCTACGATAGATCTAACGTGCAATGATTACATCTCGAACTTTGAATTTGACGTATTTACAAGGTAAACAGATTTTTTAATACTAATTAATTTGTGTAATTTCCATGAATTCCAAGGCAGTATTTGTACATGTTTGTGTGTTATGATTTTCAAGATTATTTCAACCATGGTCGACCCTCTTACGCAACTGGAAAATTCTGGCTGTGACACATCCTGGCTATGTGGCTTTCCTCACGTACGACGAAGTGAAAGCGCGTTTACAGAAATATTGTATTACTAAGCCTGGGAGTTATGTATTTCGATTAAGTTGCACGAGGCTGGGACAATGGGCAATTGGCTATGTTACGTCCGATGGCGATATCCTTCAAACTATACCGCACAATAAGAGTCTATGTCAAGCATTACTAGACGGCTATCGGGAAGGCTTGTGAGTATATATTTGATTGAGTAAAGTGTTCTATTTATCTATCAGGTGAATATTGAAAAAGATTTCGCAAATACATATTGAAAAATCGATCCGCAGTTACTTATACCCTGACGGCCGAAACATCAATCCAGACTTGACATGGGCGGTACAACCAACGCCAGAGGAGCACATCAAAGTGACGGCGGAACAATACGAATTGTACTGTGAAATGGGTAGCACATTCCAACTGTGTAAAATCTGTGCCGAGCATGATAAGGACGTAAGGATAGAACCTTGCGGGCATCTTCTCTGTACTCCATGTCTAACAGCTTGGCAGGTAGCGGTACATAATCCCAATCTATAAACTTATCAATAATTATATTAATTATAATTAATTCATATATCAATATCAATGCCTCCGCGACCTTTTTTGTTTTTGTTTTTAACTTTACACTCGAGTTATACAAGAATCTTTTTTTATCTTAACGCAATAAGATATGGTAAATTTGGCAGAACATTATATTAACGAATGTCCGACTGACTTTGGTTTGCAGGATTCCGAAGGACAAGGTTGTCCGTTTTGTAGAGCTGAAATTAAAGGCACCGAGCAGATCGTGGTGGATCCGTTTGATCCGCGAAGAACACACCGACCCGGAGCGCATTCAGCGTCTGCTAGTAATGCATCGACCCCCACGCGGGATCTCGACCCCGACACCGAGGTATCCGACTAGGAATATCATCCACCTTCATTATTCAATGTGTTCTATGTATAACAACATCCCCGCAGTATGCCTCATTCTCGAGAATGCCTCATACATTTCACATGAGATCTCGCGGTTTATACGGTCGTTACACGTCATTTCGTAGGTCTATCGTCACGGCTATATATGCTGTACCTCGCGGCAGGTACGCAGTAGTTTTAGACACATATCAGAAACGCTACTTACATTACACTGATTAATTCCGGGATCAAAAGGGACCAAATTGTAGGGATGTGGGCTATCGTTTATGGTTCTATAGAGTTCGTTGTCCGTTTCTATTTGTCGTGGCGAATTTTCTCAATTAACACGTTTTAAGATTGTTTATATCGTACAATTACAAATTTCATCAATTATTACGGAAACTCTCAGGTAAGACTTTCTGGCATTTTATTCGGAAGCTATGAATCGACGGTTTATTTATACGATTCATTGTCGCTGTGTTCTTACAACTATGCATATGTAGTCTCATAGCTTCCTAGCAATTCTCTCAAACACGTCATGATCTGGTAATGATTTGATAAAAGAATTATCATCGGTTTTTTAGGCACGCTTGTATAATGCGTTAATCTACCAACGGAGAAATGAGATATTAAATAATATCGGTTCAGCCACAAAAGTGGGTTCCATTACATTTACTTACGTCGCAAGAGTCTTTTGGTTCATAAAATTCATAATGCATGTGCATATGCGTATTTTGAAAGCGCTCCTTTTTTTAAGTATGTGCATATAGAAGATTCTATGCCTGAAAATCTTGATGTATATTATTTATGCATACACGATACGATTTACAGACGATGATATGGAATAGCGTGGCTTACTTCAACTAATATACATGAAGCACAGGTGATAGTTTGGAATGATTTTGAAAATGAGTTTTATGAAAATTTTTATACGTTACACTGACGAGTTGCATTTGTAATTTTCACCTGTTCGATAGATTGCAAAGAATGAACAAGATACAAGATTTTGGAAGATTTTAAAAAGATATTTTTCAAAAATTCGAAATGGTCAAATGACAAAATTGACATCATTTGAAGTTTTACATATTGTTTGAAAGATATTGTAATTGCTGGCACTGCCGTCAATTACAATCTACTTTGAATTGCACAATCAATCGTTGACATAATTTTTCTCATCATTGTCCAATGATCAAAGATCTATTTCAACATTCGCTATCATACACTTTCAAGTATCGTGATAACGAATGATGATTTTATCGAGAATAATACCGACAGCTATGATTCATACACTGAAATTGAAAAAAAGAGAAAAGATATATATAAATGTTCCGTACTATTAAGGCTAAATGTAGCTGTAAGTCACGATAAGAGACGAGAAAGAGAAATATGCGATGAGGAAGCATGCATCGAACAGCGGACTCGAAAGGCCCGTTTACTATATCGTTGTGTATCCCGTTAGAATGTATTGTGTACCTGCTGGCGGTAGGCACGAATGTGTAATATCATGTTAACATCATCATCAATACGGAAACGTCATTTTCCAGCGATATTATTTTCTTACGTTAAAATATTAATTTATTATTTATTTCGTATACTGTATTGAGAGAAAAAAAAAAGAGGAAAAAATCCGATGGATTTTGACACCAGTCATCACGCCAAGTCCAATGCTGTGGTATTATACGTACGTTTTCAATGCAACACACTTGTAAAGTTTGTACGCATAATGCATGAAACACTAAACCCATGCGGTATAAGCAACGATCCGATTCTTAGCACAATTATCAATTATCGGCGAATCATCGATTTAGTCTTCGTTAAGCTTTATCGGCATTTCAGATCGTTACACACTGAGTGCGTTCACGCGCGTATCCATTAGCGATTTGATACGTAATGAAGAGTATTCGCTAATTGCGAAGCTGCGAAGTATGTGCGCCGCGTAAATCGGACCAATTTCCGTAAACGTAACTCTAGCGTACCGATTGCCGAGTAGCGTTATTATTCATTGTAAAATACTAGGGACTTTACAGAGTAATACTTTTTTTTAATAAAATTATATTAACATTACTTCGAGTTACTTTTGCACTCATGTATGCGTACACAAATGCCCTTTTTGCTGGATTCTAATTTTGATTCCGCATTTACGGATCGGTTGTCCCTCCAGCAACAGGGAGTTCTCTCTATCTCTCTTTCTGTCTGTCTCTGTGTCTCTCTTTCTCTCTATCTCTCTCTCGTAACGAGAAAGAACGAAGGCGTTATTTTATTATATCGTCTCGCATGATCGTTTACTTTTTCATAACGTTATCCACGGAATCACATTGCTCTACCCGCTGCATGTTCCAAACTAATCGGTAATATGCATATCTGATGGAGGAGGTCGCACGCTACGCACTTACGTCGCAGGTAAGTAACGTATATGCATTATGAGCGTCTGCTTTTGCGCTTTGTAATTACGCTCATATATCAATCGTGACGTTGCACTTGATTCACGATAGTCGCATCGATGGCTGGGACAAGATCAACGGCATTTGACACGTTTCCGCTTTCATAAAGCAAGACGCGACAGAATTTCTCTCCTGGGCAATTTTTCCTTCCTCAGAGCGCAATCATGAATTCGCGCGCCGTAGAGATACATCTTTTGTCACTCAAATGCGATTGCTATTGTTTCAAATGATTTTTCCAAATCACATGAACCAACTGATTATCGTACTGAATCTTGTAGCAGCGCGAAAGATTTCTCGTCACGTTCGTAGACACCATATGCACTTTTCTATCGTACAAGCGTATTATTCTCCTAGTAAATATCATGCGATTCAAACACCGACATTTGTACAAAGTATAAATAGTAGAAATTAGCGCAATAGTAATCGCCATAGCTTCGACGCGGCAAATGATTCATCGCTTTATTTGCTTCGAGGACCTCTTCAGGAAGACTTAATTACAGCCAGAAATCGTTTCGCAGAGAGTAATCTTTTCTCTGCTGGAATTAAAATAGGTGGTATAATTGTCATTTCTTGCGAAATATCCGCATACGATCATGATCGTCACGCTTGATCCTTTCATTTTCCACACGATGAATCTTCATTTATCAATGAAATATCTAACATTGGAAAAATTGAAGCTTTTGATAATATATTGTGAAATGGTCTAAGATTAGCAGTGAAAGAGACGATACTATTATTATTTAAGAATATTTAGAGTTTGCGCGAATGATTAATGAGCAATCGAAAAGCGCGAAGGCTTGTCGTCTTACTCGTCTTTCTCAAATACTCTGTATTTCTAATGTTTCTCAATTCTTTTTTCATTCTCAAGTTAATTCCGTGCAGTCTTACGCTGTTTTACAATATACAGAGTGAACTATATAATGCTGATTATTTCTATCGCTAGTGGAATGATTTAACATCTGTTGCTTTTTAAGAGAGAGTTTATAAAACGTGCAAGACGGTTACTATTATTATTATTAATATAACAGATCTGTAAATCGTTCCACTAACGATAAAAATAATTAGAGTCGTCAAGTTACATGATTCATCCTTTGTATATAGTACTCGCATCAGATACCTCGCAATGTATGGTCGAATAAACGTAAGTATTCTTTCAAAGTACGACGGAATTCAGTGTTAACCCGTTTTTTTTCTATTGTCAATGTTTTAGGACATAATGGAGCTATGTAACGGCAACTGTGGTCTTATATGCGACGATTCGGACGAGGAAGACGACTCTAGTCCCACGAATTCGCCTGTGCCACCACGGAGGATCGTTCCGAGTCCGCCGTTACCGCCTAGAAGACCGTCGCCATCGCCCACGCCGAACAATCATCTTAGAAATGGACGTCATTTAACAGTGCCGAAGGAGAATGCACCGCCGCCGCCGCCGTCATCAGTCACGGTGATACTGAATTATACCGACAACAATCAACAAAATAACAAAGGTATCGAGGACAGCTTTTCAAGTAACGTTTAACACGTTCGCGACTCAAGCTATAACTTGTTTGGAATGTTTTCAACTCTTTTTATATAAAAATAATATTGAAGGCTCCAAACAATTCAATATTTTCTAGCTTCATTCCTAGAAATCAAAGTAGGAAGAAAAGTTTGTAATTCTAATGTGAAAATAAAAAATACTTGGACATAATTCTTACGGTTTTAGCACACGAAAGTTTTTGCAGTATTTTTTTCAGATACTATTTATCTTTTCACAATGGAAAACCGAGAATCATTAATGGCTTTTTCGCGAACGTGTAAATTTATACATATTATGTGAGAATTATGATAAAAAATCAATATAAGCAACAGTCACTATCGAATCATTGTATGACAATCGGTCAAACAAAATTGATAAATGATAATTCAACGATAATTATTTCAATCTTTTCGCGAAACAAAAAATTTTGTGCAGGCAGGCAGGCAGAAACTTTGATAAATAATGACTTGCGATTTCTACATGTATCATAATTCTAACATTTAGAGAAGGTAAGATCGAAATTTTCACAGTGTTTACGATTAACACAGAGGCGAGGTACGACATGCTGCATCGCGCGTCTTCACCGTCGCCGGTGCCGCCGATACCACCCGCGCCGTCGATAGCGGTGACGAGGGGTCACCCACGTCGGCCACACGGGAATCTTGTGAGCGGCACTCCGCAGCGGCAGCCGCAACCACCGCCAACATTGCCGGAGAAGACGTGTCGCGTCACTGCAACCAGCTCGACGACGAGTCAAACCGGAGGACCGAGCAACAATGTACCTCCCGTGCCGCCGCCCTTGTCGGCGCCGCGGCCACCGAAGATTGGCAAGGAAGGAACTGTGCGTCAAGAGCATCATTACGAAAACACAATCGTGATCTGCGGCACAAATCAGCATGTCGTGAAGAACATCAACCTGGAAGCGAACAGAGCTCGACTGACGGCTTTGATGAGGACGAGGGATGATCCGTGCGGCGGCGGTGGCGGTGGCGGTGGCGGCGGCGGAGTGACCAAGCCGGAATCGGCGGCGTACGAAAATGTCAACATCGAGCACATCACGAAACTGACGGCGCTCGGTTTCGCACAGGACGCCGTGATCAGGGCGCTCGGCATCACCAGGAACGACTTCGAAATGGCGTGCGATATATTGCACGAGTTTGCCACGAAATCTTCCTGACCAGGTACAGACAAAACAACGTAACAATTGCATTATCGGTGTCGTCGAAAAATACGAAGCGTTAAGAATAATGTATGTTTGAGTCACAAGAATAAAATCTTTCGAGTATCTCAACAGAATATGCACTGTAATAAATTATGAGATTACACACGTTCATCATCCAAGTAGCATCCAAGAAGCAATGATTATTCGGTGCATATTCTGGAATTCGCTATGAGATCTACATCATTCTTCACGCTTCAGTAAAGAGGACTTGAAGTGTTAATCAATAAAACGTTAGAAAGATCATACAATCATCGCCGTTACATTTATGCTGACAATTGATCCAATCGTAGGACCGAACACTGAGGTCTCATGACCAGCCTTGCCCGCCAGACGGTACTTTTGACAGGGAACACGCGCAGACTCCTGCAAGTCCCATCTCTGATGCGTCGATCACAGATATTCGGGAAACGATTCACCACCACGTCGATGCAACACCCAAGATTCAAAGGTGCTTCGTTTTACGTTTGAAAATATCGACGAGCGAGCGGTGAGCGTTGAGAACATTATTAAGGACAATCAAGAGAACTATGAAATATTGCGGTGAAAATAATTTTCGAAGCATTCTCGACATCTGTCGAACATGATTTTCATCGCACGCAAGTTCTTCGCCATAAAGTGACTTTCGAGTGGACTTTAACGAAGCTCCAAGTATTCTCGTTCCTTGGTGCGCACGAGAGTGACTATCTGCATGTAACACGAGTTACTAGCGATGTAGTAAGCAAAGGCGACGACCGACCAAAAGGCGATTTGCGGATGCCCAAGTATTCCTTCGCGGGCCACATGTAGCAAAGTGGTATGCGATACGCTAAAAAGTTGCGGGATTGAATCGATAAGAAGATATCAAAAGTGATGTCTTTCTGTCGATTGAACGAAGGAACTTTTTCACTATATCGTGTAGTCCCATATCTTCCTTAGTAGCTCTCACTGGCATAATTACTATCTTGTTCCTCAGTATACTTAAGACAGATTAACTGTACAAAGAGAATTCGCTTCTACGTATCGAGAAAGCGCTCCTTCGAAAGTCTTCGGCCACCCGTTTTCCATATTTTGTATTATAGCATGCTGCGCATAACACAACGAACGCGCGAACCGATATCGCGTTGTTCCGAGGATCGACGTGTTTAGAAATTACATACCGTACGATGGCAATACAAATGTTTTACCCCGTTCACTCGACGAATACATCCGTTTAAGATTCTACGTAGAGAGCACCCATTCGCTAGACACTTGACTCATGAGCATATAAATGTATAACGATAATAACGACCGAAAGTATGTTGAATGCCTGGCATCTAATTTTTTAAACAATACCGTTTTCCCGTAATCTATGCCGTTTTCATCATATATTAGAGTAGCTATATACACATACATACATATACACATGCATATACAATTCATATGCGCGCGTGCACACAATATACATATACGTATCGCTATTTAATGTATATTATGTATGTAATGTCCTCCACATTAGTATTGCGTGATTACGCGTACGCAAGATACCTCGGAGAGGATAAAGGTGACAAAATAACGATTCAGGTGTATAAAATTGTTGATATTTGTAATTTCCGAATCTAGTTTGAAAGGCGCTACAGATTGAGATGCGGTAGCAACATTAGATCGCGCACGCAAAACGCTCGATTTTCAATCCTCTACATTTAAATCGTGCATAAACACGTGGCTTCCCATCGCACTAAAATAGAAGAGAGGACAGAAAAGCGAGAAAAACGTATCGAAAATTTACAACTTGATGATTTTCAAGTGCGAAATGTATATAGGCGTATATGTGCATATGTACAATATATATGAGATCGAGGAGAAAAGGGTAGTTTTCTTCATTGTTAATATATCTACGTCACGACTAACTTTCCGCAAGCATGATAATGATGAAAACGTAAATTTCTAATGAATGTATTCTTTGTATGACTAAAACTACTCTTTTCTCCTTGCGCCACGATATGAACGGGGAGCGTGTTATCGCGTTTTGAACTGAAAAAATCGTGCGTAATAAATTGAAAATACCCGAAAGCGAGAGAAAACAATGCCGCGGAAATTACACGCGATGGTATTCAACTGAGGATAGAGAGAGAGAGAGAGAGAGATGTATGGATGTGACGATGATGAGATTGATAATGATGGGTGAAAGTTTGTTGTATGATTGCGCCGAGTTGTAAATGTCGGCCCGGTGGTCGACATAAACCAAGCGTGTATCGCTTTACGTTAATTTATGCCTTGCGGTAGATGCTCAATCATAATTCATAACACGTTACTCTGTCTTATGCGACAGGGCAAATTTCAACAACAAAATGCGAATGATAATTGAATCTGCGAGTTTGTTCGCGTGCTGATTCGCAAAAGCGTCATTTGTCGCGGTGACGAAGACGCGCTTGCGATTTGGCGTATGATGGTGCAACGATTGCATAATGAAAAGTTAATGACTACCTCGCGATTATACCAAAGGTATACGATGTGATCGTCCGATGTTACACTCGTTGGAACGTGTTTTAATCTTTTAACGCGTTTTACAGACACAAGGCGAACCACACACATCGTGTATTATATATAATATATTTAGATACAATATATTCATTCCCGTTCTTTCTTTCCGCGAATTTCCGCGCCAAGACACGGGTCGTCGGAGCGTCGCGTTGTTACGCAAAAGCATGTAAAAACAGCATATTCAGCAAATTTGAGCAAAAGACTCGTAGCAAGACTCTTAGCGTTTCGAGAGAAACCGCTGTTATCAAAATTTACCCGTGTGGTCCTATCGACATACAAACCGGCACATCCTGATTTTATTCGCTATGCGTTTTACCATGCACTTGACGCGCATCGATCGCAGCACCGTCGTCGCCGTCGTTGAGAAAAAAAATTGTCAGCCTTCACCTTTCGGATCCTACGTCCGCACGGGTGCATTCAATGAATTTAGCTGTCCTATTTTTCTACATTGTATATTCTGGTCACTATGTATAATGTATCGAGTGCGAGCGTGAAAAGCGTGAAAAGTGTTTCAAGTACCCTGGAGAGAAGGAGGGAGAAGGTTTCATACTTTTGCGCTTTTCATCACGCGTCGACGTCTAAGGATTAATGGTTTGGTGCAATACGCAGAGTAACATAAATCGACGATGTGTAATCGAAGATAATACGTAAATCAAGCGTAGATCGATTTCCTCCTTCATTTTAATTATTCGCTGTACAAATTGTTTTACATACTTCTCGAAATAAAATAACATGTCGTTTATAACATGCACGAGATTATCTATATCGACCGACAATGTTATTCGTCCAACATTGTTATTTGAGATACATCATGAGATAAGGATATCCTGAATAGAAACCAAATGTATCACATTGTATATTTTGTCATACCTTGTAATGGCTGATATTACGATGACAACTCCATCCGCATCCTATTGTATCTGTCCACCTCTTGGTCGCTGACAGAAGGCACCAGATCGCGAATAGCGTCCAAAAAGTGCTGCACTTCCACAATGATGTTATCATTAATTATGCATTCCTCTTGGGCAGACAAGATTGTTTCGTCCATTTTCGTGGCTTCCCGATGCTTATTGACAACTTGGCGTACAGCATTGAGCCATGCATTGGAAGAGACTGAATACAAGTCCGCGCCCGTCACATTGTCGGGCAATCGATCTACGATACACTCTAGCTCTTTCCCTTTTTCTCGGAATTGGAATTTACGCGTCTGAGCTTCCAAAACGTTGAGCTTAGACGCGCGATCCGAGTGAATGCCGACGTACAACATTTTGTCGAATCTTCCGGGTCGGAGCAGCGCAGGATCTATAAGATCGGGTCTGTTTGTAGCTCCTATAATGAATATGCTGCCGGACTCCTCGAGACCATCCATCTCGGCGAGTAGCTGAGACACCACGCGATCCATTACGCCGCCACTATCTCCGCTTCTGCCTCGATTTGGCGCCAACGAGTCCAGCTCGTCGAAGAAAATGATACAAGGAGCAGCGGAGCGCGCACGTTCGAAAACTGTAAGAGAAAAATTTTCCTATTTATTTGCTTCGACTAATTATTCATTCAATTCTGTTTTAGTAACATACTTTGTCTCACATTCTTCTCGCTCTGACCGACGTACATGTTCAACACTTCCGGCCCTTTAATCGACAAAAAATGCAATTGATATTCCGTCGCTACTGCTTTAGCGAGAAGAGTCTTCCCAGTGCCAGGCGGGCCGTACAATAGTAATCCAGATTGGCCAAATCCGAAAGCGTTTAACAAAGGTAGTTGAATTCTGCGAATAATCTCGTGTTTCAATTCCGCTAAGCCGCCTATGTCTTCCCAGTGAACTTCCGGTACGCGTGGTGCGCCTTTACTGTCCGAATAAATCGACTGCATATATTCTGAAAATATATTTTTGTTTTACCGTAAAATGTAAAAAAAAAAAGTAAGATATTGCTAGCCCCATTTATAGCAAGACCATTTTTGCTAAATCATTCTTGCTAAAATCAATTTTAAAGAATTATACCATAAGCTCGATCAAAATCTTCCTGTGCCAATGTGCATTTGGAATCGGGCGAAGTTAATTTACACCGAAACTTGGTCGCGTGCAATGACAATGCCAACAAATCGGCAAATCTAAAGTCCGAACAAAGACCAGCCAGTCTTGCGAGGTCCGCGGTGGTTGTTAGATTTCCGTTGGACAATAACCAAGACATTAATTCCGTCCGTTTATTCTTATTCAAGTGCTTCATGTGAATTGTCTCAATAAATATCCTTTGCAATTCTGCGGGTATGTCAGTCTCATCCGACGCAGCTATAATAATCAAAGGAAACTTGCGACGTTTGCCATACAACGCAGCAATCTCCGCCGAAAAGGCGGATATGATCCTTTCGTCTTTCTGGCCTTCAGCACTCTTACCGAAAACCTGCGAAACAGGTAGCTGTCAATTAATATACGATCAAAAACAAAATAATTTGGTGCAGTATCACGTACTTGAATATTATTTAAATATAATATACATGGCACACATTGTTGCGCATTTTGCATAACTATGCGAAGCTTAGCTTCGGTCTGCACTGACGTTAAAGTTTGTACTTGTGCGAAATCAACATCCAGTAAATTCAATCCAAATTTTTCCGACGCAATTCGAACTAATTCGTGTTTGCCGCAGCCTCGTGGTCCTTTCACAAGAAAAACTGGCCTTATATGCGATTGGATGTCTATCGATACAACAAACGAGAATAAAAAAATTATATTTACAATGATTACGGTATTTAAATACTATCAATTTGTAAATATGCATAAGTTTACCTTCTTTTAGAAAAGGCATAATGCAAGATTCTATATACTCCAAAGACTCCTTAAGAACTGATGGACATTTGCCGTTCGGTAATCTTATCTTTTCGCCCCGTCGTAAGAAAACGTCATCGGAAAAAGAGAAAACGTGTTTCCGAGGATTGTAACCGTGAACTTGTGCTTCCTGAATAAGTGCTGTTTCTCCTCGTACGACGTAACAACTATTAACGCTATTAATGCGCTCGTCGTGATATAATTTTAATGATTTAACTGCAAAATGTAGTGTGGGAATCGCCGCAGAACCAGACGAATAAAATCGATCTTGAGCGTATTCCTTCGCGTCGATCTTAATTATATCATTTATATGCAAATATCGAGGATGTAAAAAGTAATTTTCTAACATGGTATTTATTATTTCAGTTGCACAATCGTATGGATTAGCGATTAAAGATATTCTTGCCTCAGTGGCAAACTCAACCACATCAGCCTCCAATGGTACTAAAAATAAATTTCAAAATTCAATCATTGTAAACTCGATGATTAATCATTAATAGGCGAAAAGTTATAGTTGTAATTATTTAAGGCAGGCGGTATAAATAATTTAGTATTAAAATTCAAATATAAAATATCTGTGGTAAATAGAAAATATACTTACATATAAAACATGATTCGTCTAATTGTTCACAACAAAGAGCATTTTGCAAATTGTGTTGCATTGTTTCGGAAATTAGGATAGTGTTTTCATTTATATCAGCTATAGAAGTTATCATTAATTTATATTTCGTCATTGAAATCATTGAACATGCATGAAACCAGGAACTTGGTGATTTTTTTAAAAACTGTATATTTCCTAGTGCACAAGAGTCATAATCAATATACTCATTCTGTATATTTTCCAAATTGTCCAATATGTATTTTAAAGCTGTATCTGGTAAAGTAATCCAGCAAAGCTTTTGTTTCAATAATCTTTGCAATCTATAATATAGATATTCCAGAAAAATATAACTCAGCACATAATGCGAATTTTGTCGCATTAAGGTATTTGTTATTCCTCTTATAATCTTTTTATATAATAATAATGTAGACAGCATTTTCTGATGTGTCTTGCACATGATTTGTGCAGAAAAATCCTTACAAATTATCTAGATTTATCGTTACCTCCTAGTTCTTAGTAAATAGATCAAACCTGAAATTAAAAATTTGCAAATTAATAAAACTTAAATATTACTTAATTTATATATGTATATAAATAATAATTTATATTGTATATATATATTGGAAACATTGTTTTTTAATTGTACACGATTTCACAGCTTATCAGGATTTTTTAAACATTAGATAAAAGTGTAAAACATGCATCTTGTAACATTTTTGTTTTTCAAAATTTATACAACGTACAGATAATTTGCTGAAAATTGTGTAATATAATTTTAATTTCTTTTAGTTTTATTAAATTTTAAAATTGCATTGAATTTTTTAAATAAAAATATATTAAATTCTGTTATAGAAGATGCAGTTTGTTTGAAACGGAATGGTATAATTTCGTTTAAGAGAAAATTTTGTGACATTGTGCAAATATTGTGTTTGGTACAGCAGAGTCTTACTGTTTCTTTGGCATATCATAATTTGCAAGTTGCAATCTTTCAAAAATATATTTGTCATTTCTTTTGAGATTTTGAAATAAAATGATCCAAGCCTAATGTTAGAGGTTACATTTAATCACATCACAAAGCGCGCGCGCGCGCGCGCGCGCGCGGGTGTGTGAATGTGTGCGTGGTGTGTATGTCACTCATAATCAGTGATATGATGAGAAAGCTGAAAGTAGAAATCGAATCCAATATAATTTTAAATTAATTTTTCGATGCTAGTACGAGACGCATATGCATCTCTGATCGCACGAATAAACATGAAAATGTTTTTCGCGTGTCCCGCATTGAAATGTAGTGAAATCGCATCATGGTTTATTTGTTTCGGTTGAGAATCACTGACGTACCAATTTTGGCCCAGTCTACCGAGTTACTATAGGAACAGTAGCGCGCAAGAGACCCATCCTCGAAGGATCATGCGTGGGTTCCTTTGCAAACAGCTGTGCTATCGGTAAATTTCAACCGGTGAAATTCGTGAAAATCACCAGCCGAGGCCAGTTAGCGACATAACTGGATACAACAGCGTCGTCCAGCGTCGTCGATCGCGGCGAACTGCGGCTGCTTTGCGCTGCCACTCGACACCAAACGCACGTCGATCAAAGCTCGATTCCGCGGATCGAGACTTGCCGGCGCGGGGCGACGCGACGCGACCAAGTACCATTGTAGTGGAGGACAGTTAAAAACCGTTGGTGGCGGCCCCCATGAGCCGTTAAAGCGCGAACCTAACCTAATCCCATCCTAATAGCGTCCTTATTGGAGTTTCAGAGCGGAATTTGTTCGAATTTAAAGGTCCGGCTACGAATTACGAGACTGTTATGTGAAGTTGCGGTAAGCGAGGATGTGCATGCGTCCTGATGGGAGTCTGAGTTATGCTCGCGCTATACGCTAAACGGTTTGGTCGTGTTATACTCGCGCGTTGACATCGATACCGATGAGTGTTCAACTACTTTGCGAATTCGAAATTGGTATCGCGCTTCGATGCTTCGATAATTCCAACAGAGAATAAATCGTTGCGTTCCTGCTCGTATTATACCATCTTGTGTTCTATTGACAGTCGTAAAGTAAAGGATGTTTACATTTTTATACGTGTATAATCGTATGATCAATTGGGATGCTGCTGAATATTCTTTGGTATTGTTTGCGTTAATTGTAGAACTTTTTGTTGTTTTGTCAGTGTATAAGGAAGTCTCTGAGCGATAAACAACAAAGTCAGAAATGGATCCTGCGTCAGTGATAGCTCTTTGCAAAGAGAATATCCAGCCGTTAAGGTATGGGCGGAATGCCACGCAATTGGGAACTGCATTGAGAGCACAGGAAGATGCAGATGCGCAGCAGTTGCTCTTACAAGAAAAACAGTAATGTCCCAAGAATTCATGATAATTATAACAATTTGATTAATATAATTTTCTCACAAAGTGATTTTATATGATATGTGATTTTTGTTCAAATATTTTAATTATTATTTACATTTTTTGTTTTTTAGAATGTATGAAGATGCAATTAAAAATTATGAAGGAGAAGATCCTTTGGAGAACTGGTACGAGTATATTCTTTGGGTGGAACAGAGCTATCCAAAGAGTGGACATGAATCTCATATTGGAAAACTCTTGCAACAGTGTTTGGCCATATTTGAGAAGGAAACAAAATATCATCAAGATCGCAGATATATACGTTTGTGGATTAATTATGTAAGTGATGTCTTATATAGAGATATCATTTTTTGTTACTGTATATGTCGTATATACTTAATAAAACTTTGTTTTTTTAGATAAGTATGCAAAAAAATCCTTTGGAGTTGTACCAATTATTACAAAACAATGGTATCGGAACTACAGTGGCAGACATGTACAGAGCCTGGGCTTTTGAGTTGGAGCAAATTGAGGACTATAAACGTGCGGATGAAGTTTACTTAATAGGATTATCTGTTCGTGCAGAGCCCTATGAGGAATTGAATCATGCTCATCAGTAAGCATTGCGTTATTTTTTTATATACATATATATATATAAAATAATAAATGGATAAGAATAAATTAGTCAGTTGTGATGAAATCTATGTCATCTTTTCACAGAAACTTTCAATTGGCTGTGGCACGCAAAACACTTGGACGTATTGAGGAAAGAAACGATGTTTCATTGTTTGAACAACGACAAGCTTTTAGTTCATTAAGGGCGATAAGAAGTGGCAAAAGAGTCGGTAGCGTACGAACAGGTCATCGTGTGCGCGAATATTATCCTGGTACTGTGCCTCAAGTCTCAGCTTCTATGCAAATTACAAAGCCCAATTCTAAAATACAAATATATCAAGTAAGATGTTAATAATTATAATATAATACAACTCGTACAAATTTTTCAATAAATTATAATGAAATGTTAACTCGTAATAGGATGATATGGCTGGAGAGATGAAAGGTTCTAGTATATTAGATCACGTGCCTATAGAGGATACAGTACATAAAGAAAATACTATCAAGCCTGGACCATGGAATAACGCACACAAAAGAGGTCCATTAATAGCTTCTACTATAAAGGCAGGCTTCAAAGGTAAGGAAGACGAAGCGGAATCAAGTCAACGTTGCATATCATTGCAGAAAAGCAATGGAAATGTTTCTTTATTTGTTTCAGTTCACGAAGACCAGGATGATGGCAGTGACATGGAGAAAATTAAATTGTTTCCAAATCATGTGTCTTTCTGTGACGGTAGCAGATGTCATGATTCTTTGAGGATACCAGTATATGTAGCGGATCCAATAAACTCTAATATTGTACAGAAACCACATTATCCCAAAGAGCTAGTTTATGCTGAAAATGCCGATCTTAGTATGGAGGAAATGAAAGCACAACTTTATTTGAAGAGGTATGTATTATGCAAAGATAATAAGAAAACTATCTTTTGTACTCTGCATAACAGATGGTAGCATTATCATTAATTTCGATATATATATTTACATATTGTTTTTATACACATTTAGTACATTTTTATACACAACTGTCACACATGGTAATCATAAATATGTTTTACACAGGAGAACGCAACTTCTCGAAGATAAGCATGAAATGTCGATGGTTTGCTTACGCGAAACCGACAGAGAATCACAATCACAGCTCAGCAGTTACGAAAACATGTATCATTTACAAGAAATAGAAGAGCAGAAAATGGATCAGCAAAGAAGAGTGGAGATTAGTAGACAGAGACTCGAGGCTGAACAGCAACTACAGAGGCACCAGTACAAGGCCGATCAAATTTTGGAGACCCAACGACAGGAAATTGAACAAAGAGAACTGGAAAGATTAGAGGTAGAGAGAATAGAGGCTAAGAGAATCGAAGCTGAGAGACTCGAGGCTGAGAGACTCCAAGCCGAAAGGCTTGAGGCCGAAAGGCTGCAGGCCGAAAGACTCGAGGCTGAGAGACTCGAGGCCGAAAGACTTCAGGCTGAGAGACTCCAAGCTGAAAGACTCCAGGCGGAAAGACTTCAGGCGGAAAGACTCCAGGCGGAAAGACTGCAGGCGGAAAGACTCCAGGCGGAAAGACTCCAGGCGGAAAGACTCCAGGCGGAAAGACTCCAGGCGGAGAGACTCGAGGCGGAGAGACTCGAGGCTGAGAGACTCGAAGGCGAAAGACTCCAGGCCGAGAGACTTCAGGCCGAAAGACTCCAGGCGGAGAGATTTGAAGCGCAACGAATAGAAGCAGAATTGAATACGCAACGAAAATTACAGTCGTCAAGTTTTATGCACCAGCATCACACTTCGCCTTTGGCTAATACTGAGGAACATTTACTAGGACAGAGTCTTACCGTAAATACGAAAGAAGCTATTTCGGTTGTACAAGGTTTGTGGCAATCTCCCGATACAACTTCGCGCTTTCGCAGTCCTCCGGTACCACCCAGAATGATGGATGCGAGAAATAAGTTATCGTTTGATATACACATGGACAGCTCTATGACTCAACATGCGATGTCTAGCAATAAGCATCATCAAGGGTACAACGTGCAGATGTATAACGATCAAGAAAATCATCACAGTTATCATGCACCGCATCATGGTTATATGGACCGTTCCGGTCAGGAACAGCACACATACGGAAATCACGATTTACAAAACAGTTATCACTATCAGATGCAGGTATAGAAAATATTCGCATCTTTTATTTCGATTTAATATAAAGAAGATAATCTAACACAATAATAATTTTCCGTTACAGCAACATCATGATCACCAAGTGCAGCAGGCACATCCTCGACAGCATCCCCAACATCATCAACAGTTGATACCATCCCATCAGCAAATGCATACTCCGCATCATCAAACTCTTCCTCATCCGCAGCATTTACAATCGCCTCACAGTCAAATGCCACATCATCAGCCGCATCATCAGCCGCAACATCAGCCGCAACATCAGCCGCAACATCAGCCGCAACATCAGTCGCAACATCAGCCGCAACATCAGCCGCAACATCAACCGCAACATCAATCGCAACATCAGCCGCTTCATCAACCGCATCATCAGCCGCATCATCAACCGCAACATCAGCCACAACATCAGCCACATCATCAACCTCATCACCAGCCGCACCATCAACATGTTCATCATCAATCTCCGCACAATCAACATATTTTGCACTCTCAGCCGCATATGCATCAACATATGCAACATATGCAACATTCTGTTTACGGCAACATATTACCCAACGAGATTGGATATCAACAGTACCCGTCAATGGAAGCTCCTATGTTACAACAGAATGTAGAATCGCAAAAGCAATTACACTTCTCACCGTACAACGACTCTGACATTGAAACGAGTAAACCGTACAGAATGCCGCCCGAGCTACCGTACATCAAGTCACCTGGAATGAATCGTAAAGACATGAAATATCTCGAAAGCGCAGAAGACAAAGAGAACGCTATCGTTGTAGATTATAACGGTCCGCTTGAAGAAAATATGGTACCCAAACCGGACGAAAATAATTTATATATTGATGAAAGTTTGGGCATAACTCCTCTCTCGACCGCTAACGAGACATGTTTCACAGAAGTCTTTAGCATGCAGTTACCAAGTTCCACGCCGATGACTAATCATTTCAAATCGTACAGACTGAAAGATGATCCGCAATTTTCGAACCATCAAGATATTGCGGCTCAACCGTATGTATCTATTTGTTTTTGACTTTATAATAACTTTATAATGTTGAAGCATTTAATTTAAGCTTTGCTTACGTTGAACAGAGTTGCAGAAGCACCGAATGCCGAAGGCGATAAATTAAGTGTAATATTAGAAACTACACGAGAATATATCTCAAGCAGTTCAGGCAGCAGTAGTAATTATACCAGAACTACCGCATTGACTTTTGGTTTAACAAGAGAAGATATGGCTCCTATTAAAGAACGATCTGTGGATACAAGTACGTATAATATACCTTTATACACTTTTTTTTTATCGAATTACAAGTTATTAAATATTTTTTGTCGCGCCTTATTTTTATGAAGAAAGAATGAAAATTATCTTAATTATATCTAAAGTTATAGAAGAGGAATCAAACGAATCCATGTTGTCTGTAAATCAACCTTATGAACAAAAGCTACATGCACAAATCCAGCCTGTGCATGCTCAAAGTCCGCGTACAGTACAACGAAATGTCGACCAAATAATATCTGAGATTAAGAATAATTGCGATCTGAGGAAGTCTATAAGTTTAAATCTTAATAATGAGGAAGATAATTCAGCAAAGGTCGACACTATGGATTGCGAGGAGCAATATAATGAACTTATGGAACAAGAAGAGGAGGAGTGTTTCGAGCTTCCTTCCAAAGATATAAATCCATTTGACAAGAACTTAATAACTGGCCTATTGAAGAAAATAAAATTTCCACAATCCCATCATGCAGATGGATATAAAAGAATAGATACCAATCTAAATAAGTTTGTGCCTTCTACAATTACGCTCGGTCTGTATTCCACTTATTTCGATTAAGATTCATGTCATTATTTTTATACATTCACAGGCTTTTTTGTATTTCTTTACTCTATTATATTTGCACGTATAATTACGCAGGCACCGACGCGTACGATTTGGAAAAGTGCCTTGGAAAAGGAATGTATGGAACAGTTTTTAAAGCAGTCAATCTGCAGACGCACGAGACTGTTGCTCTCAAAACGCAAAGACCCGCATGCATTTGGGAGTATTATATTGTACGAGAGATAAAAACGCGTCTTACGAATCCACATATGGTACGGTATAATACAAGAATAGCGCATTATTAACGCAGCTTTAAATCTACGATCTCTTGTTTATTAACAAATTGATTTTTTTTTCTTTCTGGATATTAATACACGTATTGACGTGCTTTTTCAGTTACGTGGTTTCATGGATGTAACGATGGCATACGTAGCCAACAATGGAAGTGTGCTAGTTTCTGAATATTCCAAGTTCGGAACATTATTAGCGGTAACGAATCAGATAAAAATTGCCACTGGCAAGCCTCTGGTGGAGACTCTAGCTATTTTCTTCACAATCGAGATGATTCAAATTGTCGAGCATTTGCATAAATGCCAAATAATACATGGAGATATAAAGCCGGATAATTTTTTATTAATGCGACTGTTAGTAATCTTCAATTCATTCTTGTAATCTTTGCATTGCGTAAACGATCCAGTTATTGATCACTTAATATATACATGAATTATAATTGTTTTCAATTAGTGTTTTGTATGTGCTACAATATTAACGCTATTAGTTTTGCATACGAGATATAAAGTTAAAAATATGTTAATCTTAACTGGGCAATTTCTCGATCAAGGACGAAGTGTAATTTTTAAATTTTTTGCAACAAGTTTCTTCACATTTTGCACAATTGTAGAGGCATTTGCAAAAGGTGAGTTAACTCATCCCTCCCAGTTAACAGGTGAATCAATTATTTCTGAACAACATCCGCTACGTCAGATAATATTGTAATATTATTTTGCATTAAACATGAAAGATTTGCCTAATTAGTGGTGTAAATGAAATCAGAGTAAGAATACACACATAAATCAATAGTGGTCAATAACTAAAAGATTTATCCCCTTTTCAAGCATTTGTGTCCCACATTAAGTTATTTGTGTAATCATTGACAGACCTACGCAAGATGTAAGGCCAACTATACAGTTGATAGACTTTGGATGTAGCATAGATATGAAACTATTGCCAGAAAATACAACGTTCACGAAAGTTATTAAGACGGAAGACTTCACTTGTATCGAGATGCAAACTGGAAGGCCATGGACATACCAAACCGATCTGTACTGTCTAGCGGCGACCAGTCATTGCCTATTGTTTGGCAATTATATGAGGGTATCCAACATAGGCGGCCGTTGGTTTATTACTTCGAAATTACCAAGGTATGTAAACAGTAGCAGGTGAATACATTGTTATAATTCAGGAGAGTTACACCAGTAACTTATTGATGAGTAATTTGTGACGTAACACAAGTCGAAGACGAACGAGAGAGAGGAGAGAGAAATTTTTTATGTCCATGTCTTTTCTTTGTCCTTTGTATTACAGGTACGCTAAAAGGGCTGCTTGGGAACAATTTTTTACAGAGCTATTAAATGTCGAATCATGCGATAAAATGCCCGATCTGATGAAGTTGAGGAATATGATGGAAGAAACGTTGGCGCAAATGCCAGAAGTGCAAGCAAAATTTCGATCTTTCGATAACATTCTCAACAAACGATAACGCTTACTATATCTAACGACACGTCCGAATGCGTGCATATATATAGTAAAGAACCAATGTGTAATACAACAAATATTAATGTTATCGTACTATTTATTATAAAAAGTTAATACTTCAGTGATAAATATATGTATCTACACAGACAAACACACATACACACACACGCGCACACACACATATATGAAATGCACTTTATGGCCTGCTTTGTGGAGGCTTTACCGATATTCGTTGCTTGCACATAATCAATCATTATTAGGAGCACTGTGCGACGAATTGGACCTTTCAAGAAAACTGTTCTTCATCAGAAACGTACGCGATATGCAAAGATTTATATCGTAGAAATTTTGGAAATGTATCTTGTTAAATCTCTTACGACATGTATAAGATGTATACATGACTCGCTCTGTAAGTTATGAAAAGAAATGAGGTTGTACAAATGATTTAAAAAAGTTTTACAAAAATTCCAATATCTTGTAAAAATGAATAGTACAATGTACATGTGATACACAGTATGAATTATCCAGTTTGCAGAAGCACATGCATACTGAAATACTTGAGTACCTTGTATAAATAATTAGTGTATATGTAATCTGTGTATATTTGTATCGAGTGAGTTCAAAGTTTGGATGGGTCTTACCGGAAAGGAAAGCTGACAGAGGACTCGTCACAACTTTTGCACTTGCCCAATAATAGATTTCTCAGAAATTTCAACGGGTTCGTTTCGTTTGCAAATATTTCAACATGTATCAAAATATATCGTATCAGTAATATTAACTGATTATTTTAAACATCTTTTATTGATTTTTAGTGATTATTCTAAACACCAGATTCACTTTTATTACATAAAGTAATGAAATTATTTTGTTCAAAATGGCCGTAAATGTCGCAGGAATGCAATAATTACAATGTCATATTATCTGAAAAACAATACCTTTTATTTTGAATATGTGCAGGCTTGTGTGTTTTCGAGTGTCCACTAAACAGGCTATGTAGTATACTTTACAAGCCTAAAGATTAGACTAAATATATGTATAAGTATCATACAATCGATGGAAATTTCGAATTTGCGTTCCGATCATAGATTTTACAAAAAAAATGTCCAAGAACTTTGGGTTGTCTAAAACACACATAAATATTAATATAAATTATGTATACACCCCTTCCCCCGCTCTCCTCTTTACTATGGAACATTCGTAAATCATAACAGACAACCTATTGTTCTTGCTTAAGAATTTATGAGAATATGCCTTATCTTACTTTAACGACGCAACATTAAAAGATAACGTTCAGATGTAAGAATCCGTACAAAGCTTTAAGATTAAAACCAGTTGAGATATTGTAAAATACATTTATTAAAATCAATCACCTCACAATATATACAAATTTATCCTCGAATTCCTACAAAAATTGTATGTTATGTATATTAACCAATCTGCAATCTTAAAACTTTTTCAAGGATAACCGATAAACTCCGAACTTATCTTAAAAATTAATAATTTCGCCACTATAGTTTTTTTTTAATTTTTTTATTAGCCAAATTAGTAATTATTAAATATAATGCATATGATAAATATAGATGTAATGCACATTTACACAAAACTGATTTAATGAAAATTATCAACAGTACCTTGGCTTATTTAACATGTATATATGTATAAAAATAATACTGCTTGTCATATGTTTGGTCCTTTTTCTTTAAAAATACATATTTATAACACGGCATACGAATCTCTTCATCTTAAGAAGAAGCGGTGAGCAATGCTTCGATATAAGGATTTTTATGAGAGAGAACATCTTCCCTCAATGACGATATTTGGTTTTCCAGATCGGCATCAGATAAAGATTGATCCAAAGTTTTACATTTCATGAGGAATTGTGAGATAAGTGTTTCAGCTTCCTGTATAACAGTGTTGAAAGATTCTAAATTATTATCACGCACCCATATAAACATTCGTTTATATAGATTGTTATTAACGATAAATTATAATAAATTACTATATATCACAATAACATTATATTTAACTACTGTTAAAAATACCAGTTCACAAACCATCGACGTACCTGAATAATCTTTCGCTTCTTCTGGGGATTGTCAGATCCTTCAAAAACTACACTTTGATAGTCCTCAAGTTCTGCTTGTTTTCTTTTAGCGAACTAAACATTTATAATACGATGTAAAGTGAAGAAACTTTATACATCAATTATGTTATGTAAATATGAATGAATAACACACCTCTATTACATTTTGCGGGAAATTAGCCATTTTGGCAACATGAAGGCCGAAACTTTGATCGCAAATTCCTGGCTTTACTTGATAAAGCAACGTCAATTTATTATCTTCGACAAGAGCGGTAACATGCTGATTTTTTACAGTAGATATTTCTTCGGCTAGTTTGGTGATCTCATGGAAATGTGTAGCAAACAGACAGTACGATTTAATATCTCTCGCCAAATGTCTGAATACACCAGAAAATTATTAATATAACATTGTTGTGAAATTTCACAGATCACTCATTGAGCAGAACAGAACTCAATAGAAATGAGTGCATTTACTTACTCTGCTATTGACCATGCAATGCCACAACCCTCGTAAGTTGATGTTCCTCTGCCCAATTCATCAATAATTACAAGAGAATTACACGTTGCTGTCTGCAACAGAAATATAATATTAGAATTTATTACATGTTTATTCTATAATTTCTCTTCTATATATATTGTATAATCAACGATATAGATTACTTTCAAAATAGCTGCAGTTTCTATCATTTCCATCATAAAAGTCGACAATCCTTTCAACTGAGAATCATCCGCTCCCACTCGAGCCAATATACAATCCAGTAATGATATAGTTGCTTTATCACAAGGAACAAAACTGCCGATATGAGCCATCAGTGCAGTTACACCAACAGATCTAATGTAAGTACTTTTACCTCCCATGTTTGGACCAGTAATAATGCAAAAATGACATTTATCTATAAGGAATAAATCAATATTTTATTAAATTTTCAGGAATTTCTAAAAGAGAACAATATGAATAATTCACAAAATTTAGATGAGATTCTAGCTGCATTATTTTTTCCAAGACGTTACACATACCTCGCTTAAAAGTGACATCATTGGCAATATAGTCTATTCCTTGTTGCATTTCCAAACACGGGTGTCTAACTTGAATGAGATTCAATTCACCTTTTTCACTCGGGACCATTTCGGGACGCACGTACACTTTATTAGCACTTATTGCTGCAGAAGCGAACGCAGTGAGAACATCGAGACACGCAAGCACACCACCGATAGCACGCACCGTTTCGCTATAACCAGCTGTACAAGTAACATAAAAATTAATATTATTTTAATATTATATTTCAGTAACTGAATAATTTGTCTTTCAATGACAAAAAAACTATCACAAACCTGCAATTCCCACAATTTCTGCAATAACATCCTTTTGTCTTTCCAAGTATTTATTTCTAGCAGATATAAAATCGTCATTCAATTCGCTTAATTTGCTGTTTCGGAATCTTACACCAGTTTTATTAGAATCCAAAATGGTGTAATGTTTTTTATTCCGAAGTATCTTCTCTTCTTTCAATGTAATGCGAAGATAGTAGCCCAACTGTTGATTACATTCCAACTTTATTGTTTTTCCTGCTTCCAAGCAAAGATCATCCGCCGCTTTACCGAGTAATTGTTGTATCCTTTCTTCCATTTCATCCATCGCATCTTTTAGCGCTATAACACAAAATAATCATATAATTATTCATTACATTTATTTCATAATATGAATGAATGTTCTACATTCGTCATTTTTAAATATGACTTTCAAATTACTATAATGGCTCAAGACTCAAGATTATTACTTTTAAAATCGTCTGCAAATCCTGGATTAACCATGAAATCTCCTTTTTCGGCAGCATCCAAATCGATTGTTTGCTCCACCAGCTGTTGAAACTTGTCCATATCTTCGACAAGTTCTCTCAATGGATCTATGATCATTGCTTTCAATGCTGTCACATTTGCTTCTGGTAAAAGTTGTTCCAGCAATTTTGGCAAGTACGATATACACAAATAGATTCTGAAAAACACACACACACATACATACATACATCAATACATTTTAATGCTATCACGACGATTACTTTTCAGCATAACTCACTTGTAACAGTCTTGCAATGCTGATTTCTTTCTAGCCAATTTCTTCGCCAGCTGTTGCAAATCCGGTATACGTTTTAAATAATCGTCACTGAGAATAGATCTTAATTCGTTATTTTTTACCAATAGTTCAACAACATCATGCCGCTCTTTTATCAAAGATAAATCTCTAAGAGGCTGTCGAACCCACTGTGCAATCAGTCTGTGTCCTTGTGCGGTTCTACATTTGTCTAGCAATGTCAAGATGCTAGCAACAGGATTTCCATGTAAATTAGAACCTGCATCGACGTGTGGCTCAATGTTGAGAGCTTTTATCGCGGCAGAATCCAGTCTTATGTATCGCGATTGTTCCACTTGATTTATGGTAAATTGATTCATATGACCTTCATCCGATGTTAACTAACAAAATATTATTGCATAAGAACACAGTAATCTCGAAGACATATAATCTTAAATATAAATTTTAGTAATCAACTTATCCACCTTTTTTACGTTTTACTGTAGATAAAAGTTATTATTTACTTTTTTATTTTTGTATTAATTGAAAAACAGGATGTTTTTCTCAAAATTGTGTCAAATATTTTTATGCTACGCTAATAATTTTTTATTAATTTATCAGGAAAAAACATCAACATTGTATACATATATATATAAAATTAGATAGAGTAAAAACGCAACATCCTCTAAAAGATCTTCTAAATAAAATTATAATAATACTCACATCTAAATATTTAATGAGAGCAGATGTAGCAGACATAGCCAGATTTAAGTTAATTTCTGGTATTGACTGCGCATTTTGTTTCTGCCCTTTCTTAAATTTTATCAACGTGTTTAAATCATCTACGATCGAATCGCTGGAAAATTCACTTTTCTTTCTTAAAGTTACCATCACGTTGCTTCTTTCTATCAGCTGAAAAGAATTGCAACGTATTATATTAATATATCTTGCTTTTATTATCATCATGCATAATGTGCGACAAAATCTCATCAAACCTTAAATACATACCTGTTTAAGAGTTTGAAATTCATAACTGCCTTCTCCTTGAATCAATAAGCATTCCTTTGGAGCGAGAGTTACAACGAGTGACTCTAGATTCGAAAATGACTCGGTGTCTTGAAATTCAGTGACTGAAATTAAAGTTGAAACGACGTCGATGCAACTTAAACCGACGACCTACAATACATTAATAATTTTAATATATTATGGAAAAAGAGCTATTTTATAACATTATAATCTTTGATTGTACCATATATGATATATACAACTTTACGATGCACAATATATGTATTGTATATTAGATTAGATATATATCTGTATGTACATAACAAACTCATTGAGAAATAGATCAAATTTAATATAACTAAGTATAAATTATTACGTTGGCATCTTATCGCACAGCGTAAAGTTGCTTTTCAATAGAAAAATATACATTAATCATACGCAACACTCACTCTGGACTTTCCTTCTGTACCCAATCTCACAGCTATTACGGATACGCCCACGGCTATGTCATTATTGCCGAATAAGATATCTTCGAAATGAGATAGATTGCCGGGTGAACCTTTGTACTCTAAGATCCAGTTTTGATTTTTCGCGGAGCCTTGATTAACATAAACTTCAACTCTGTACTGCTTTACTAACAACAAATCGCGTACAAATGTCTCGAAATGGCCTTTATTGAGAATAACACCTTCCGTTTTATTCGGCTCTGTAAAAGAATAAAAAGATATTAATTTTATTATGTATGTTGAATCTAAATGGAACTCTAATGTAGGAATTTTATTCTACTGTAACTATAACATTTCCTATTATTTATTATAATCAAATTATATTGCCTTAAAAAAATGTGCTAAATAATGTGTGAGTTAAGAACAAAATTCTTCAATGTCTACAATAAATGATGCTTACCAGCTCCGATCATTTTGCAAACAGATGTTGTTTTAAATATTTGCTGTGCAGCAAACAGAGCGTCACTTCCATGCACTGTATAATAGTCTGATCTATTGAAGAGTCGTATCGTTGTGTTAAGTTTCTGAAACATACATTGTTATTGATTACCGTTGTATCAATTGTTTGCTCCAAGAATTTTGCAATTGTGCGGTAATAAGTATATCAATCACTGCGCGAAATATTTTGTATAATGTAACTAAATCGAGATTACACACGATTTATATAATTGCATATTATACATATGCATTATATAATATGAGTGCAAGCTTTTAAAGAGATAAGCTTGCAATGTTTTAAAATAATTAAAAATTATTATCATTAAGTGCATTCAAGTTTTTTAGATATATAACAACGATTTTATAAAAATACATCATCGTTTGATTTAAAATCTGTTATATGATCGCTAAAATGATCGATAAAAAATCCTATTAAAAAATTCAATTATTTTTGACAATATTTAGTACAATAATGTATAGTGTTGCTTTTTATTCTTATATATATTTTATCTATTTTATAATTAAACCCGTCATGTTTTTCTCAGTTTTTCCACAGATATTTTCGCAATTACTCGGCATCATACTCTGTTTACCACAAGTATTAATCATACATTTCATATTTCCGAGAAATTAAAAATCTTGTACGTATCTACAGGTCAATGTCTATCGAGAGGTCAGAGCATCACAGGTCGTCAGAGTTCCGATACGTGTACAAGTATGAAATTTCATGAAACGCGTTTGAAATTGATCGACAAAAGGACGCGTGCGCAAAACTTTAGATAATTATTTTCAATTTGATAATTATTATAATTATTTCTTTTGTTAGTTTACGAAGCAATCGCATCAAAGGTGAATTTTTTTTCATTTTTATGCCAAAATATTAGAAATGTTCTGATATTATTGACAGCTTTTATTATAATATAATGCATTATTTAGATTAAATAAAAAGCAGCATCAAGTTACAAAAGAGAGAGGTCACACACACACCTTCACCTAAATTTTATTCTTATATAAATATCTCAATGTAACTGTGTGTAGATATATAAAATCCATTTATTTCGATAACTTTTCAACGATAAATAATAAGATACAAAAAATGGAACAAATGAATAAATAATATAAAAATATTTACTAAATATTCAGAAAGATAAATAGTTGTCATTTAATGTAAATCTTTACATGCATATGGATACGTAATTCCCATCTCTCATTGCCATTTAATGGGAAATCCCGACAGTTTCAATGACACCCATATATTGAGGTCGCTATCATATAGAACGATACATTATTTACGATATAGTATTCACCCTTAGCATGATAAAAGATCGCGGTTCATATTCCAGGAAGGTCATTTCTATAATAAGTAGGCCATCGCTCATTTGTTTCTGCGAGTATTCTATTTTTCGATTTTCTTTATAAAAATACACTATTGTCACATTCTAATAAAATACAAGGACAAAAATGCAAATAACATTGGAAAAGTTACGGCCTTTACGTAACAGGAAATTAGTATTACTAATTAAAAGCGAGTCTGATCGTTACGATAAGGATGCTACAAATTCAGAATGATCTAATCAATGACACATCAACCTAAATATGGAAAGTGTTGCCACTACTGGTTGCCACTACCTGGAAGTCGTAGAGTTAACGTACATAAATATATGTATGAGCAAAATGATGCCTCATGCTATTTATCAAGGTGTGTTGAGTATAACTGATCCAAGCGGATGTGATTACTCGGATTTTATTTAAATATTATGTTTGAAGCATGATCAATTTGCGATATAATTAATTTAAGCAATAATAATGACTATCCATCACATTTCCTAATAGCATACAATATTTTGTTTTTAAACTTGCCTTTTGTAAGACATATTTCTCTTTTCTACATAATGTAATAGATTTTTCCACGTAATTAATTTAACTCATTAGAGAAACGAATTTATAAGAACATAAATCTTCATGATATCGTTTATTTATGTACAAAGAATAATTTTTTCAATTTTTATAATAGACTAGACGTCTTTCCAAAGTGCTGTTTCAACACGTTATTTAGACAAAACTGTTTAACTTCACAAAAGGTAATATAATTCATAACTTTGAGCTTACAAAAAGACAGACATGCATACTAGCAATAGAATATAATATTATATATCGAATACGAGAATTAAGTACTCTTACACTTACGTCAATGACAAACTGCAATCTAAAATTACTGAGAAATGTATGTGATAAGAATGAATCTGTAATGGATAAAAAGAAAAGATCGCCAATATACATATATGCGTAAGAGCAGAAAAAAAAAGAAAAAAAATGCCGCGAGAATCATCGATAAGAAGAAGGGGAAGAAGAACATAAATGGATTTGCGGTAATCTGCTTCTGCTACATGTGAACCTACAGTGTTAGTGTGAACATCTCCGCATTAGCAACTGAATTATAAGTGCATCTCGATCTTACATTACAAGGTAATCAAATATTGCTTCTATAATGACAGGTAGATTAAATGTGTAAATAAAAATAGTGATTTGTCGATGAATGCAAAACGTAAATTAGCAAATATCGATTTTTCGACAAAAATATTTGTTAAATAATTAAACTAAGCGGACTAAAACTTTGATGATCTTTATAAAAAATCGACACAAAGTTATGTTTCTTCATGAAAATAAAAATTTTGATTGAGAAATCAACCAGTGTTACGAAATAAATAGCAAACTCGTACAAACTTGATTTTTTGTTATATTCCTCCTTATCGTTTATCGCTAATATTGACTCTGATGAACTTGTATTTAAAACTATCTGCAAATAACTCACGAAAGAGTATATCTGACAATGAATTAGCGCTTCCAATAATAATAAAAAGATGTAGAAGTCCATTGTCTTTTATAAAAAGCCCTGCATTTTTCGTAACACGTAATCGTAATTGTAATTGGAAAATTATTATTATAAATCATTACTTTTTTTCTTTTATACACATTTGCAAACAAAAATAAATCAATAATTATTACTATTAATAGATAAAACTCATTACAAATGTATTGAAACATTAAGTTGGAAACAATTGTTTGTTCAAATACCTAAAAATGAGTATATATATGAGAAAAATAAAATCTTTATTTTTATTTCAGAGATCGCAAATGGGAATTATGGCAATAGGACAAATAATCGTTTTATTCGCGTTATTTTTCGAAACATTCTCTGCACCAAGTGGCTGCATAGAGTCCTGTGATTTCCATCAAACTTCCTATCAGAGTCGTCATACGTCAGGCGGTCATCATGCAAGTTTAGTTGAAGGAAGCGCACATCTAAATGATCATGATTACGCCAGACCAGGCAACTGGACTGAGCATAATCAGTACAATACAGACAGTGGACATGGCAAAGTTCATGAGGAACGAGGGCAATATGTGGAAGGTGCGAAAAGGGTGCGGTATTACAAGAAGAATTTCACTTCATCCTACGGCAATGTCAACGAATTGGGCAGGGAATTAGGTGAATTGAGCGGCCAGCGCAGATATGATTCGCTACACATTCCAAATAATCAGCATTTGGAATCTCAAGCATACAATCAATTAGGACAGGCAGTCACGAAAGAAAGTGGATACAACAGGCTGCACAGTCAACAAACGCAGTCATTGTCGACCAGAATCGACAGCAAGAGTGAAAGGTTGGAAGATTTTGGAGAATACGGTGGACACTCGCAAGTAAATCAACACGAACTTCCCAGCATCGATATTCAAACGAGCAACAGGCAGCACGTCGAAACAGTTCCTGGAAATTGGAGCAGAGTAGACTCCTACAAGACTGACAATGGTCATGGACGTGTTCACGAAGAGGAAGGTCAATACGTAACTGGACCTAAAAAGGTTCGCTACTATAAGAAGAATTACACCTCTAGCTACAGCACATCCGGTGTGCCGCAAAACAGCATCGGTTCGGCGACGTTGGACGACTTGCACGGAAAATTGCAAAGAAACTTGCACGAACAACTCGATAACTTCAGACGAGAATTTCATCAAGCTTCCAGCACAGGACACACCGCCTCCGCCACGCATGTAGGTTCGACGGATTTGACTCAGGAAACAGTCGGTTTTCACGATCTCCAAACCGCCGAGAGCGACAACTACAGACAACAATCGGATTACCGGCGTGTCCCGTCTAGCGGAATCACGCATCATTATACCGATCACCAAGAGAGAGAGACATTCGTCGACACGCGCCAGCCATCGTCGCACACATATCCCGCCGGGAGTACCGGATATGATACACAAAGAACGTACCAGAGTCATGAATCCCGCGCGTCCCGAGTACATCCTACACCTCATTCAGGTCACTCGTTTCCTGGTTACACTCAAGTTCCGTTTACCAGAGGCGATCAGACGAACTTGCACAACGTGCACGTAAGCGAACATCACATCGACGAGACGCAACGTGCGCAAGAGATCCTGGGCGGGCATCGGTCCAGCGTGGCGCAAAATCAACTCGCCGAGAGCTCGCATCGCGTGTACAATCCGAGCTCAAGTTACAGCGCCTATCCGGGCAGACGCGACGAAACGAGGCGCTACGAGGAGCACTGGAGTTCATCCAGTCATACCGGTGGAAACGTCGCTCCGGATTTCACGCACGGTCACGCCAGTGGTCATGCCGATAGAGCTCATTATGATCGAGATGCGTATAATCAGCAACGCGGTCGTTATCACGCCGCACAAGGATACGATTCTCACGCGCATACCAGCGAGAGCAGTTACAATACTGCGTACAGAACGAGTTCAGGACAACTCGTTACCGGATCATTGGACTTGGGACAAGCGGCGCGAGGCGCCGATTGCACCGAGGAGACTCAGCAGTATCAACAGGAAACCAGATATCATAGAAAATACAAGCGGGATGATCATCACGGCAAAGTGCAGCAGCATCAAACGATCGATAATGAAGATTTGACGCAGCAAAATCAGGAGTTGCCGCAAACTATTGATGATCAGCAACTGGAGGACTTGATGCAGCAAAGTGAACAATTGACGCAGCAGATAGAAGGTCAACTTGAATTTGGTCAGCAGACTGTCGGTGATCAACACCAGAAAGATTTAACGCAACAGACACAAGAATCTGATGATTTCACGCAACAAACGAGTGGTAAACTTGAGTTCGGCCAGCAAACTGTTGGTGACCAGCACCTGGAAGATTTAACGCAGCAGAATGAACAATTAACACAGCAGACAGAGGGTCAACTTGAATTTGGCCAGCATACTGTCGGTCACCTGGAGGACTTGACGCAACAAAACGAACAATTGACGCAGCAGACAGAGGGTCAACTTGAATTTGGCCAACATACTGTCGGTCATCTGGAGGACTTGACGCAACAAAGTGAACAATTGACGCAGCAGACAGAGGGTCAACTTGAATTTGGCCAGCAGACTGTCGGTGATCAGCACCTGGAAGATTTAACGCAGCAGAGTGAACAATTAGCGCAACAGACACAAGAATCTGATGATTTCACGCAACAAACGAGTGGTAAACTTGAGTTCGGCCAGCAAACTGTCGATGGTCAGCACCTGGAAGATTTAACGCAGCAGACACAAGACTCTGATGAGCAAAAGCAAATTGAACAATTTCAGCAGCATGAGATGGCAGATTCGAATATAGGCGATTTCGCGCAGACAGTTGGTAAACTTGAATATAAGCAACAAAATGATGACACTCAACAATTGGGGCATTTGGTGCAGCAATCTCCGCAGCAAAGAAGAAAATCCAACGACGATTTCACGCAACAAACTGCAACTCAACTTGAATTCGGACAGCAAGCTAATCAACATTTCAAAGATTTGACGCAACAAGATGAACAATTTACACAACAGACATCTGATGATTCCACACAACAAATAAATGGCGAGCTGGAATTAGGCCAGCAAACACAATCGATAAATAAATATACGAAACCAAAAAGTCAACGTTTAGAGGAATTTAATGAGGACAATGAAGATTTGACTAAACAGACGACAGTATTTAATGATTTTACGCAACAAACAATGGGGCCAGGATTCGAACAAGTGCAATCACATAGACCTAGTAAACCGAAAGTCGGTAATCAGCATTTGGAAGATTTTACTCAACAGAATCAAGACTTGACTCAACACGTTGGACAGTTTAACGATTTCACACAACAAACAACAGGAAATTTGGAATATGGACAGCAAAGAGAACAACAGCGGAAGCCCAACTGGCCGGAATATAATACTCAAAATTCGGAATCTCAACAAAATGATTGGAATCTTTCGCAACAATCGTATCAATATCCATTCCATAACAATAACGAACAATGGCAATTGGGTGAAATGTCACAGAAAACGGATCAAGATTTTATGCAACAAACTGATCACGATCAACAACCAACGAGTGGTGTGATAAAACCAGCACCGAAACCGAAACCAAGACAACGACTTCAGAAACATGATTCCATTCCATCAGATGCAAGAGATTTTGACCTTTTCAATCCGATTGAAGTAAATTCAGACTCTGACATAGACGATTTCCATGGAAGAAATATCCAAGATAGTAGTCGCCTAACAGATTCTAGCTCCAATAATCCTAGATCAAAAATTATATATGCCCAAGGAGGCAGTGTATTTGACAATGAAAAAGAAAACATGGATCGTTTGCATTGGGTGCATAAATCAAATGATGCGACGGTAGGCTTGCAATGGCATTACACTTATCATCCAAGTGACTTGACTAATGTCGAAGGCTCGCATGACAATTATTATCCTCAACGTAACATTAACTCAAAGCCTCAACAAGTAGACGATGTACAACAACAGTCAAAATCATTTGACTTTAATCAACAAGAGACACAAGATAAGAATACATTTCAATATATGCATGAAAACTCACATACTTTTCAACCATCTGCCTCGCAAGCGCAACATAATAAATACGATCAACAGTTAGGATCTATTCAACAAAGTGAGTCATCCTACTTTGACAATCAGTTTAATCAAGATCCTAAAGAAGCTCCGTCAAGAGTAATTCCACTGCAACATAATCAAAATTTGCAGCACACTGCAGAGTTGGAAAAAGAATCTATACAAACTACGGAACAAACAGAACATGGAATAGAATCGCGTATTTTGCAAGCATACGGTGGAGGACCATATGATCCATCGCGAAATGATGATATTTACCGCAGAGTTAGACCAAATCCCAGTGCTACTTTGCCACCTATAATTGATGAGGATCCATGGGACATTAGGGAAAAACCAAAAGAAATAATACCTTGGACAGTGGCAAATACATTGCCGACAACAAGCACACCAAAAGAGGAAACTATAACAGAAGTAATACAAACTACAACAGAGGCATCATCCTTTTGGAATAGACTTGGCCATAAAATAACTAACACATATGACAAAGCTAAAGAAAAGGCTAAAGAAATATTTGGTTAGGCTTTACCATTTCCAACTTATTTAAAAACTACTTATTTATGTACAGAAAAATTTCTTATGCATTTAATTTTGGTCACACATGCTGAATTGTAACATTTATTCATGAAAAAAGCATATATATTGCAGTTATCAATCAAATCAAAACAAATAGAGTGAAATATATAATCACAATATCACAAGTTCATGAATTTAATTAATCTTTTGCATTAGTATTATAAAACATTGTCATTGTAAAGCTAAGATAACTTTCATAATTTTATGTATACAATAAAAATATATTCTTCTACAAATAGAAGCATCATATCTATTTTTTGTATAGAAATATATTTTAGATATATGATAAATAAAGAAGTTGATCAATTCGAGAAACAATTAATGTTATTTGGCTAATGTATAAGCAATTTGAAGAAATTTATCAGAGGATTTAAACAATTATATTAATAAACAGTACAAATAATTTTTGCATATTCTTACCTCTGGCAGACTTTTAAAAAATCTGACAAAACTTTGTTGTGTAGGAGGATCTGAAAAATTATTATATTGTTATAATGAAATAATAAAAGTACAAGAACAGAACAAACAATACACAAAAGTATAAAGATTTTTACGTACCCATACTAAACTGTTGGTTAGGTTGTACTGCCATGTTTGTGAAATATAATGCGATGCAAGCAGTAAATAAGATGCAGTAAAGATCAAAGTATCACTAATTTGATTTATAACAAATAATGGAACTTTGTCAAACTCAAACAAATTTACGACTCTATCAACACACACGTGTTCACACTACTTCACACATCCTTCACAGTTATTAATTCGCGCCATTTTACGCTATTCGAAAATGGATTCAGAAACTCATCAAAAATATGTCACAAGTTTGTATTGCAATATTCATCTTTATGATCATTGGTTATAACACTTCCAGCAAATCCGATAGCAGTTGTCCAACTGCAATCGAATCTGATTGGTCTATATTTCTGCACAAATCTAGCGATTAAATTTTCGATTGTGTATCAAGCATTAAACTCTGTATAGCAATCTATGATTTCATTGGTTAATAGTAAGTTTTCTCACTTTCGTAACTTTTTGCACATGTTTATGTTGTGTTTAAACAGCTGGTTCATATTGAGCTTTTCTTTAAAGTAAAGCAGAGATTCAATAACGTTTTACAAAAATGGAGTTGTCATCGCAAAGCACTGGGATTTCAAACGATTCAACGACCAAGGGTTTTGATTTATCGTCTGGAAATACTTGGATATATCCGGAAAATTATCCAGTCCGCGAGTACCAATTTAACATTGTCAAATCTGTTTTATATCGAAATACTTTAGTCTGTTTACCCACTGGTTTGGGAAAGACTTTTATCGCTGCTGTTGTGATGTACAATTTCTGGAGGTGGTATCCATATGGGAAAATTGTGTTCTTGGCACCAACAAAACCTCTGGTTGCACAACAAATTGATGCATGTTATGAAGTAATGGGTATTCCAAGTATCGATATGATGGAACTTACAGGTTTTAATATTTATTTCTTTAATGACACACATATTTATATAACTTGTTTGCTTTATAATATGTATGCAAGAATAGTAAACTATTTAATTTATAGGTGCAATTAATCAGAAGAATCGTGAAATAGCTTGGTCAAAGAAGAGAATAATATTTGCCACTCCTCAAGTATTTCATAATGATCTTGAGAGATCAATTGTACCTAGTCATTTAGTTAAATGTGTTGTTGTGGATGAAGCTCATAAGGCTTTGGGCAAACATTCATATTGTGAGGTAAAGAATATTGCATAGAAAAAATATATATACATAATAAACTGCATATTATTTTTATATTAAATTTATTATTTTTAGTGTATTAGAATATTATCCACACAGAATCAATATTTTAGGATATTAGCTCTTTCTGCTACACCAGGAAATAAATTGGATAATGTTCATGAGGTAAGTAGATCCAATGCTTTCATTCTCTTTACAAATTAGCTAGAAAAAAATTATTTCAAGACTCTAATATGTATTTTGTTATGTAGGTAATACAAAATTTACATATCTCTCATTTGGAGTTGAGAGAAGAGAACTCAATCGATATAATGCCGTATATTAATAAGAGAAAAGTAGATATTATATTGGTGCCTCTTAGTAATGAATTAGCTACATTTAAAGAGAAATATGTTGTTATTATGGATCGCCATGTTAGATTTCTTATGCAATATAATATATTGCGAGGATATACTGCAAACATATCTAAAGGAAGGGTAAGCTTTGTTGTAGAAATTTGTAATATCAACTGATACAAATAATTTCATTGTTCACTATATTTTCCAGATATTTCACTTATTAAAAGAATTCAAAACAAAGACTGACAAATCGGGAAATTATGCACAAATTATGAAGACTTTGAATATATTATTAACCATGTATCATGCTTACGAACTTATGATCAGACATGGATTACGTGCCTTCTGTAAATTTTATCGAAGTATGTTTGTTGCAATCTGTAAATTGTTTTTTTTTATTGTGATCTGTAATTATTTTTTCCTTGTGATTTGATGATTTATTGAGATATTTATTAACATAAATAGAAATCTTAGAAAAAATTTAATTTTTTAGCTCATTCTGATAAGTTTTGGATGAACAGTGAAAATCATTTGCAAGATTTACTCCATGAAATAGAAACTTATCTTGGACCATTTCCAAACATACATCCTAATGGAGATGTATCTGAGGTTTGTAAACATTTCTTAGTAATTCTACCTTAAAAGAAGCGTGTTACTTTTACTTTTAAAGCCTTTTTTTTGCATTATTTATTGATCAATTTGCAATTTTTTCAGATACCAGCTGATCTTATATTTGGACATAACAAATTTCACAAATTGAAAGAATTACTTGAAAATCACTTTAAAACCAACAGCAGCAATCAGAAGGATACAAGAGCTATAGTTTTTGTCGAAGTTTGTATCAATTTGTCATAATGATTAATATTATTATATTTAATGTTTTATTTAATATTAATCTTTAAGAATCTTTGAGAACTCTAATACACAAAGTATAGTATTTAATATGAAAATAATAGAGATAATTCTTTACTCACTAGTATAGAGACATAGTCAATGAAGTCTATATTTTACTCTTGCAATCAAAACCAGTAATCAGACCACAAATGTTTGTTGGTCAAGCTAGTCAAAAACAGAAGCAACAAATAAAAGCGTTGGAGGATTTTCGAAACAATCATGTGAACGTCTTGATTTCGACAAGTATAGGTGGGTAAGAACTTCAGATTATGTAATTGTAGCAATAAGTGGAATAATCTTGTAAAAATATTAATTATTTTCTCTTGCTATGCCATATTTTACATATATTTCTTTTTAGTCTCTTATCAGTTTACTGATAAGATATACTAATTTCTTAATAATTGTTACATAGGTGAAGAAGGGCTGGATGTAGGAGAAGTAGATCTAATAATATGTTTTGATGTATCACAGCATTCCCCAATAAGGTTAGTACAAAGAATGGGTAGAACAGGACGCAAACGAGATGGTCATATAATTGTTCTTGTTACAGATGGAAAGGAGCATGAGGTAACTGAAAACTCTATTCTTTGTACACACTTTGTATATACATATATATTTCTCAACGTAACTTAAAATACTTTGCAGAATTTGAAGTCTACGCTTTCAAGAAGGGATTCTTTGAACAATAAAATATTGAACACAAGTAACATATTTCCTTCTATGTATGAGAATAATCCTAGGATGATACCAAAACAATTTATTCCAGAATGTCATAAGATTCATATTGTTGCATTGCCGAAGACACCTAATGTAAAGGGTAGAAAGAAAAAGAAAATTATCAACAAAAAGAATGAAGCGTCTAGTACAAAACAGACAGAAAGTAAGTTTTACAAATAATTTAGTTTTATTTATTTCCCATACTTTATCAGATGTGTTATATTTTTCAGAATAGCAGAATAGCGTTTGTCTCATGTATTTCTTAAAGAATATTCACTTATTTCAGATTCACCTTCTAAAAAAGATGCAGGTCAACCGTCGATGATAAAGTTTCTTACTAATAGTAAATGCAAAGACCAGAACCGAAATAATACTCCAGCAAAATACTCCAAATGTGATATTTTTACTCAATTGATAACGCAAAGTAATACGCATTTACGTAATACGATAAATCCCAACAATGTTAAATTGTTATCTGACGATAATGCGGGAATTGATTTTTTAACATTATGCGCAGTAAAAAAATCGGAGGAAGAAATGTCTTGCGAGACTGTGTGTAAAATGGATACGACTTACGTGCCTCAGCGGAAACCAATTAAAGATTTGTACAATTTTATAGTACCTGACATAGAAGTTATCGATAACTTGTCTTTCCTAACGAAATTCACAGATATTTTACAAGTGCAAAATACAAATTTTGAAGATGATATACAAATTATTGAAGATGATGCAACGCGATGTGAAAATGGGAATGACAAAAGTGTTAATAACAATGATTATGTTAATATCAATGATGATAGTTTTTGGTGCACTATACAAAATAGGAGAAATATCGACAACGACGAAATAAGATTTGAAGATATACTTGATGAAAGTTCTGACTCGAATAAAACAGAAATTTTACATTTAAATAAAAAAATTGCAGATACCGAGATAAATCCAATTGAGGTAGATGAATGTTTTGCGTCTAATATGGGAGATGATAATGCAATTATGACCGATACAAGAACAAAATTATCAATTGATACACTACATTTGGAACCTAGTATATTTGAAAACATATTAAATGAATCATTTAGTTCAATCGAGGACATTTTTGAAGATAAAGATAAGACAATTAGAAATACAATATCTCCGGATTTTTCAAATGTCTTTGCTAAAAATGAAGAGAGAACGACACACGCAAGTACCGTTAGTATCCTTTATGACGAGGATAATGTTGTTAAACCTAATCAAGATTTATCAGTACCCACGGAATTTACCACACAGAGATCTAATCATTTAGATAAATTTGCGAAAAATTTTGCAGATGAATTACAAGATTTTGATTTTAATAGTGACGATGATATAAGTGAATTTGTTAAACATAAATCTAATAAGAAAAATACGTCAGTACATAATTCAAAAGCGGAAGAGAGTTTGTTATCTATAACTCAAGCTATTGGCGAGATAGCACAAATGAAAAGAAATGTAGCAAAATCACCAAGACTTTCTGTAAGCAAGAAGATTGAGGATGATGATGATGCTGGCTGGATTTCAGTCGATATCAAGTGTGAAACTCAGAAGCAGAAATTCGGAAACAGAAATACAAATTCGAAAATCAAGTTATCGAATATTAAGCGCAATTATACTGCAAAATCATGCACTTTTGAACAGAATTTCGAGCTTTTAGATAATTCCGATGAAGATTTCAGGATTACAGAGGATAACGCAAGGAAATTTGATGAGCTTGAAAGCAGCTATTTCCGTAATACGTCGAAAGAATCGGAAGATGGTAGCAGTTGTTTGCCTAGTACATCCAGAAAATATACGAAAATAAATAGTTTTGTCGATATATCGAACAACATGAAACTGTGCGGCATGTCAACGCCGATTCATAAACGTCCGGGATTGTCTTTGAAAAGAAATAAGAGCCAATCGGATGTGATTGATTTTAAAGTGCCTAGCAGATGTATGAACAATACGAGAGATAAGAATATCTTGGAATCCAGTTCTAGTACGTCGAAGCAGATGATGCCCCCTTTGGATAGAAAAATTGCACAAAAGAATAGGCACAAAAGAAACGATATGAAAAACAAATTTATAAATGATGAAGCGGAAGTAGACTGTGACTTTGTTAGTTCAGACGAAAGTATCGATGATGATGATGAAAATCTTGCAGATTTCGTGAGCTATACGCAATATTCGCAGGATCAAGTCGATATGCACGCGCATTATCTACAAACCATTAGGAGCCCAATCAAGAGACCGGGCGTCTTTCATTTCAGTAAACCACAGTCCACTGATCCAAACGTAGAGATCTTGTCATTATCTACATCTTTGTCACAAGACTCGTATGTTAATGTACGTAGTGTATCGGACATGTTATAAGCTTGATTTAGATCGATGCAATTTTTAAATACTTGTAACAACTAATGGACTAATTACTAATAGATTAATTTTGATTTTTAGGATTCATTTTGCGTTGCAGAAGACGCCGAGCCTAGCATACTCGATCATAACGATTCGATATTGGAAAGAGCCGAAAAGGAATTGGAACGAAATAGACGAAAACGTCTCTGTTTCGATAAGAATATGAAGCGGACTAAAAAGAAGAAAACCAACATCTTAAATCAGTCAGTGAGTAGTGAGGATGATATCGAACAATTGCGCATACAAGTTCAAGAAAACTGACCAAGAATGGACAATATCCAATCAATCTGTGATATGTTAATAAGTTATAAAATGCAATAAGATGAGAAAGATAAATTTTAAGATGATAAGCTATAAAACATGGTAAGTTTACTTAATAAATCCTAAAGTAAATTTGAAAATTAAAATTTACTTTTCAAATGTACAAAGCTTACGTGAATATTCATTAAGGATTTAGATGTATTTTTTTATATGGTGATATTGTTGTTGTAATAAAATCATGTAAAGATCTATCTTTAATCAGATAACATAATGATTTATGAATAGCAGCATATCATCATCTTTTCCTCGCGTAATTTTCCGTCTCATCTGAAATTCCCATCGTTTATTGAAAGGTTTTCTAATGGTATTTTTACAACCACCGTCATACTTTTCAGTACTTACCGATATGAATCTTCGTAATTTATATCCGTTTAAGCTTTTATCGCTGACTCATGATGAAATTGCGGATTTACCAATAATGTCTTTTGTTTTCTTTTCTTAAATTTTATATTAATATATAATATATAATTTGTACGGACATTATTTTACAAAGAAATTAAGATGTAAATTAAAGATAATAGAAATGAATTATATAACTGATCGGTAGATTTACCTGTATTGGTAGAAACTCAACAAATAAGAGTATAAGGGTAAAAACCCCATAGTGCTTTGTTTATTTTTATGTACAAAACAGAAATTTTTACACACATTATTCCCATCGTGAAACTAGACGAGGAACTGTGGACATCAGTAACGCATGTCAGAACATTCGACGAAGCTGAGTTACAGATACCTATCAAATGCCTAAAACTCTGTCAGGTATAAAAAATTTTGGTTTATCTAAGAGTTTATCAAGGGTTTAAAATGCACCTAAATCGAGGTGGACCTAAATATAGGTGGGATTGCAGGTATATAAGGACTAAACACAAGATCCTTACGTTAGTTTCTTCTTGCTCAACAAAGTTGTGGCGGTCTCTGAAGTTCCTTGAAGATTGAATTAATCATTAAATAATTGAGAAAAACATTGTACTGCAATTACAATTCAATCGTAAGTAATAAATTGATAATAAATTTATCCAGTGTTGCATTCTAATTGTATTTATTTATATTTTTTTTATTTTTCAGAAAAATTTCGAGGCATTTTTGATACTTGTGAGAAAAGCTAATTTTGGGAAGCAAGAGCAAAGATGTATCGTGCGGTGATCATCTTGGTTTTAATCGGGGCAACGTATGCTCGAACTACCGAATATTCGTTGGATTTGTTGGAATTACGAACCAATTCAATGCAAGAAGTGCAACGTGAAGATACAAAAACAAACGGGCAAACAGTTGTGAATGATTCGACTTATTTGCAAAATAATAATCCTGCATATCAAAACCGTGACGTGGATACCAAACAATATACGACACCGACAGAATCTAGTATCCAGACTGGTGTTGTGTCTACGAGGAAACCTTACCAATGGCTTTTCGAAAACATCGTTACTAAATTAACATTCGTCGCCAGAAGTTTGATAACTCACCGTGCTTGTATTGGCTTCTACTTCTTGTTTACATTCTTTCCACTTATTCTCAACTTGCTTTGCACACATACATCAATATGTCCCGCCTTCCTGGCAGATAGGGTACGTTGGAACAAATTTGTCTTTATATATAACTTTCCTTAAACTTAAATAATATATACATGAGAAACAAAATTGTTATTAATATATTGTTAATATACTAATTTTATCCAGAAATATTTTTGACTACTTTTGTGTGCAAAATAATATATTTATTTTTATTTATTCAACATGAAATTGCGATCAGCAAGTTGGTGTGTTACTCTCTTGAATTTTGCACTTTTTGAAAGAATTTTATCGCTCTTTTTTTAAGTAGTTGATGAAAATGATGATAACACAACTACACTGTATTGCCTCAAACTCATTGTCTACGTTTTTGTAGATCTTTGATTAATTAATCCATTTATTTTTTATTTTTATTTCAATAATTGCATGCAATATCTAATAACGATTTGAATGTTTTTGCGCAGATAATATCACCCTTGACGAATGTTAACAAGTTAGCAGCGGATTGTGAAAAGTTAAATGCGGTCACTTCAACCATTGACCGGGCAGTCGAAAAGTATTCCACTATGCAAGGCGAGTAGTCGAATATCAAATAACATACATCAAAAAAGACATTGAAGGACGGTATGAAATTTACTGATGTAATAAAAAAGGTGAAAGAAAGTTATCTAGAGTTTGTATTACTTTTGATAGCACATCATCACCCAAAATTCTTTATTTTTACCACACTTTGCCTTTCATGACATTTGTCAATGATATCATTTGAATATTGGAATTTTTCGTTCTTTACTAAAACTCGCGAAATGTTTCCCCTGCGTATACATGCATTATCATGCTTGACTAGATTATGCTATCAGACTTGTTACACGTAGAAAACTCTGGGAAATCTCAAATCGGTGGAAATACGGACGCGCTGTCAGTGTTACATACATTCCTTGCTTTGCGTCTGGCATTTCATAAAAAGTGTAAAAAACATTAAGAAGCCATATTAGACAGATAGGCGATTAATAAGATATTTAATTAAATATTAATCATAGTGAAGAAATAGAATATATATACATATATGTATATATATTCCGTATCATATTTTATAATATGCCTACTTAAGTGATGTCATTGCGGTCTAACGTTTAACGAAGAAGATTAATTTTTTATCCAGTTTATTTTAAATGAAACTTTTTAAATACAAGTATCATGTATTAAAATTTACATCTATACTCTTATTTTTTTAAAAACAGCAATTATTTAAGAACAATTTTAAAAATAAAATTAATTGTATCGTAACTTAATTGAGAGGGTGTTTCCACCTCTTTGAGAAGTTTTTTTTCTTTTGGCATTTAATATTTTTGAAAATAATAAATTCCAATAAATAAAGGCAAGTTGAAGAAAAATCAGAACTAAGTCGCCATTGTTTGAGAGATGATAATAATCAATTGTAGTTTCAATCCTAGTTTTGGATTCTCTTCAGAATCATTCAAAATTTTTGAGACAATCATCTCGCACCATTGATTCATTCGTTTTGTTTTTCTCCGGTGCGAGCTCAATTTGTTTATATTATTTTGAGAAGGGTCCAAAAAAATTGACCCAGAACGTTAATTTATTATGAAAATCTAAAGAATCACATAAATTTATTTTGCTTCAATAACAGCGACTTGGTTTTAATTCGTCTTTATTTTAGGATTTATATTTTGATAATTTGGATATCTTTAGATCTTTAAAAATATTCATCTCTTTGAATCATCCTGATAACTGATTATGAGCGTAAAATCTCCGGTGTAAAATGATTTATCACTCATACACGATTCTGTAAAGATTTTATACATGTACAAAATATTATCAATAGATGATGTTGCGAATTGGTACGTGCAAAGTTATTCGTTCCTGAGTCATGTTCAACACTGTTTCCTTATATTGTCCGCAATCTCCCCGCGCGTCTCGCGTGTCACCACCACTCTTCCTCGAGAATAGACGCTATAAGCATCGGATCATCAAGCGCTGACCGGTTTTACTCTTCGCCAACTAGTACACTAGTTGCGTCGAAAGGATCAGTTTGACTTTTGCGAGAGCGAACATCACGCTAATTTACAAAGAACCAAGTCACATTAATAAATTCCGACATTACGCAGTGTGATCATGCGGCTCCAATTAAGTAAGCAAAATATTCTTTTTTTTATAAGTTTTCCAAAATCTGTTTTCCAAATTTTTTTAGTTTTATATCGTAATTAAACGGTGATCGATAGAGAAACTTTGCTTATTTATACATATTATATTGATACCAACTTTATGTTTATAAGTTAAATCGAATTACTACTAATTAAAATCACATTTGTAAAATTTGTCAATTCTAATTGAGCATTTCTTCTATAGTGATATATAAATATTTAAAGCGCATCGTGTGTGTGAAATGGTTTTTAATTTATCATTGAATTCTTTTGGATAAACACACTTCCACGAAAAAAAAGTAGAAATAAAATATAGAAGTAAAAGGTGCAGTAGAATTGAAGGTCAATGTTAAAGTCCTTGAAAGTTTTTTTTATTTATGGAGTGTAAAAAGTCCAAGGTCCTACTAATATTCTGTATGAGGTTGCTGACCGCCAAAAAAAATGCGATTCTCTAGAGGTTTCCGTTTGGTTAAACATCCGTTACATTGTTATCAAATTATGTTATTTCCGGAAGTGAAAGAATTGCAAAACATGATTTAAAACCAGAAATTTACATATCTTTAGACATAATAGAAAAATCTTGGAAACAATACATTATTCCTTTATTTAAACTTTGACAAAAGGATTATTAACGAAAAGAAAAAAACCATGTCGTTGCATAATAAAGCAATTTAACACAAGGAAAGCTCGAAACTTACACACGACATGATTTAATTATTATATTATACAAAACTATTGAATTTGTTTACTTTTCTCTATAAATTAATTTGACGATTTGATAATTAATTTGATATTGAACTTTTTAATGGAAATTATGTAAAAAAAGAATATTATTTCTTTCATATGTTTTAATTTAATATTTATTTTTGTATAAAATATGTGTTGGGTAAACGAACTAAAATTCAAATTTTATGTTGAAGTCTAACTTACGTATACATAGAATAAAATGAACAATAACACATCTCTTATTTTATTTCTCATAATATTTTTTCATCACTTCAAGGACTCGATAAAAATACAGTAATAGATTCCTCACAATTTCTGTTAAGCAAGAACGACTAACAAATGAAATAAATTTAAAATGAGGTGCGCAAAAAGACAGTTCAAAACTTTTTACCAACTACGGCATTTGTTTTGAAAAATTAAATTGTTCACACGTTTAATTATAAAAAGGATTCGTTGTGTTATTGGTGATCTTGCGCTATTTATCGAGCAATTATTTTGGGGGAGAGGGGGATTTTTCTTTTATGATACAATTATAAAGATGAATTATCAACATAAGAAATAAAAAAATTTTTACAGGATATTTATGTCTCTTGTTCGCCGTAATTTTTATAAAACAAAACGACTGCGCCGTGAGGCAAAATTCTTCACGGGCGAACGTTTCTTCAAGAGTTACTCCTCAAGTTGAAGATGACGAAGATTTTGTGCCTTATCAGGGCGAACGTTTCACCGTATTCGATTGGATGTTGTTCAAGGTATTATATTTATGTCAGAGATTTATATACATATTTTTCGCAAACAGCGTTTTGCAAATGTGTTATAATGACGTTTGTCTAATTTAAATATCTAAGAAATAATTTCACGTAATTAAATAGATGATTCACTCTGTCTTTAACATTTCTTTTTAGAATCTCGGCAAAGCGAATGCAGGGAATGTATTACTGTCACCGATATCCATAAAATTAGCATTGGTGCTTCTTTACGAAGGAGCTCAAGACCAAACTGCGCGAGAGCTTGCTGGAGCTATGCAACTTCCGGTTAGCGTGCTGGCCACTCGAGAGAAGTTTAATAATATTTTGAAATCTCTGCAGGTAAAAAACTTGGGTGCATTCAATTATGCGCGCGATGTGAATTATTTAATAAAATGTGGAAATTTATATTTCTATCGAGATTGTCATTACGCGTGTATAATAAATATGCAAAACTGTGTTATTTACAGACTCCATCTTCCACATATACTTTAAATATCGGATCACGCATTTACGTTGATAAAAATGTATCGACCAGACAACGTTACGCGGCAACATTGAAAACTTTTTACAATACCGATGTGATCAATGCCAATTTGTCTGATGCGCATTCAATCGCGACTGCGGTTAATTCTTGGGTCAATAATATCACAAATGGACACATCGAGAAGATGATAGACGACGGTAGGTTTGCTGACGATGCTTTTTAATTTAATTAAATTTGCATCAAGCACATTTTAACTATTCTGTAAATTTACGAATACGTAATATTTACTTCGTATGTTTCAGAGAAGGGTTTGGAGGACTCTGTAATGTTGATCGTGAATGCGTTATTCTTCAAAAGTGTTTGGCGCCGCAAGTACTTTGCGCCCGAAAATACTAGGGTTTCCAAATTTAACATCAACGTTAACGATAGCGTAAACGTGCCGTACATGCATGGCGTGGGTCGATTTTATTTCGCCGAATCTGCAAGACTCGATGCAAAAATACTCCGGCTTCCATACGATGTACGTGACATTACTATTAGTATAATAATTACATGATCCGGCATGTATGAGACTTGCATAATGTTGCGAATAAATTGTTAATATGTAGAAATTATACAGAAATTGCGAAAAGTGCTATCTCTTTCAGGGTTCAAAATTCGCTATGTATATTATTCTACCTCACACGCTGTCCGGTATTGATCATATTATTAACGAGATCAATCCGTTTACATTGGCGAGAGACATATGGGCCATGCAAGAGTTGCCTCTCGATGTTTGGATCCCGAAATTCAAGTTTGAGTTCACAAGTCACTTGGAAAATACTTTGCGCGAGGTAAATCGTCAATGCTTTTAGACTTGGATAGCGTAAAGCGCAAGAATTATGTGCAAAACAGAATTCTTCAACAAGTTTTTCCCTTCCTTTAACAGCTTGGTATCCGTGATATCTTCGACGACACTGCGCAGTTGACGGGAATAGCAAAAACAAAACGAGCTTCTAGACACTTGCAGGTATCCGATGTCGTGCATAAAACTGGAATAGAAGTAAATGAGAACGGCACAACTGCTTACGCTGCTACAGGTATATTCCATATAAAATTACATAAAACTAAATCTAAAAATTAATGATTAATGTAAGCATATATATTTGTAGTAGCATCTTTGTATTTTATTAGAAAATTGCACATTCTTGCATTTAATACAACACTTTTTTTTCTCTTAATTTTTCATTAAATTAAAATCTCCATCAAAAGATCTGCGTGACTAGTTTTTACAGACCATAAATTTGTAACTTTAGATTAATTCTGACCGAAAGAAAAATATATTCTTATGCACTAATCGCCAAGATGGCTATTAAGAGCAGTATTTTTTTTTTAGTATTATTAACATTTTTTTCATCGATTATCATGGTTACACTTTCTTCTCTTAATGCAGAGATACAGATTGGAAATAAGATAGAAGAGGGTTCGTTCCACGCCAATCACCCATTTGTGTTTTACATCGAGGATGAGACCAGCGGCACTATCCTTTACGTAGGCAAGGTGAAAAATCCCCTAAGTGCATCCGAGACTACGGGGAAAGTGCAGCACGAATTCCCATCGCGATTTACCGACGAAAACGCAGCGATGAATTCTGGTAAACTATTGTAAAGTTATTTGGACTGGTGGAGTGTCTACCTTTTGTAGATTAGTGTCTAAGATATAAGATTACGGCTTTGGGTTAGAAGGTTTTCTTTAGCAAGGTTAGAATGGTCTCTAAATGGTTCTTTCTGAGCGTAACATCTAGATTAAAAAGTACCATTAAGATTCCTTTCTTGTACAACATTGACAGCGGTGCTGAACTGGAGTTGAGCTATGCAGGATATTTTGTCTCAGAGATTTGAAGATTACATATTTCAAAACGTAAAATAAAAATACATAATTACTTTTTATTAACATAAGTAAAGACTTTCTTCGATATACTTTTTATTCGATATACTTTAACTTTTAGGATTTCCGAAGAAAAAGTTAAAGATTTAAGATTAAAATATCCTGTGTAGATAAAATTTACTTTAGATTGAGAGAAAGAAAGATGCTTGAAATAATTAATAATAATACTAATAGTACTAATACATTGCATGCGTCACTTTATATTTGTATCGTAGTACACATTGTATTTTAAGATGTACTTAAGAACTTGAGAGATGATGATCAGTTTCTCAATTCGATCGAATCCTACTCACATATATTGTATTAATTAATTAAATCGCATAGGTGATTATTTTCATTTTGCCTTGACGAGTAAAAAAATTATTCCGCATATTTTACTCTTAAGAGTATATTTTAACTCTCAATTAACGATTAATGATTAATGATACTTTGGATATAATGACGTTATATAAACCGTAATGTTATTAAATACTCTATAGAGATATATTTTTGTTACAACGTGACAGCATTTATCATTCTCGGTGTGATATGTTAAGTTTGCGTAAATTTCTCGCGAATTTATTTACATTCAATACTTGAAATTCCAACAGTGCTATTCTTATCGAATGTACCAAAGAAATTAATTTATTTGGACTAAATAAATTTATAAGATCAAGAAGCCTCGCGTGTATATGAAATAAAATATGTTATTCATTTAATACATCAAGATTAACGTGACGCGTATTTCTAATGTCACATCCCAGAAATTTCAGCGAGTAAATAATTATCCTGACACAAAAAGTCATTTATTTAATGAAGTAACTTGAAATAATTGCAATTACTCTTTTTCTCTCCCTCTGTCTTCTAATGTTTAAAATTAAGTCAATTAATTAAAATTTATCAGTACCTTCCTTTCACAAGTTTTCTTTATTCCACATTACTTGTTACATGTAAATGATAAAATTTTTGTTATCATATATAATTACGTGTATAATGGTCTATTAGAAATACTAACGTCATTGTTAATCACAACTTATCAATTCCTTATCAATGATTTATGGTTCCGTGAATGGTTTGCTTTCATTTCAACTGATAATTATATCTTTATCTCCGTGACTGCACATGGTTCGTAAAATGAATTTAGTGAGTCGTTTCGAGAATGATGTTTCACAGTAAATGGAAATTCCGATGCTATCGTGTGCCTTTATCCTTTTCAGCTCCCTCCCCCCCCTCCTCATATTTTTATATTTTGATTTCACTGCAAATCCTTCGTACATATATGTGTATATATGTATGTATGTCTGGTTGTTGGGTTTTCCCAGCTCTTTCAATCCTTCCTTCTTTCCCCCATCTTCTTCCTTATCTCATTCTTTTTATAGTCTTTTTATAAAAATAAAATAAGGTTTTCTCTTCGTGGAACAATAAATCAATTCGATATTATTTTTGTAAAAAGTATTCTTCCTACTGGAATATAAAGTTTCATTTTTTTGCTTCAGTTCTCATTCGTTGCTTTAAAAGGCAAAAATTTCGCTCATCACAAGTTTTTGTTCGCTAAATCTCGCGTGAGTTACATCAGTGTCTAAATATTGATCAGCAGAATAGTATCTTGTCTTTCTTTTTTTATCTTTTTCGAATATTACGATTGTATTCTCTTTACAATATTGCGCGCAAAATTCTCTCGCGCGTGTGTATATACATAAACGATGGTGGTTGTCAGAGCGTTGGAGCGTACATAATATTTCCATTACGGTGAAAAGATGAGGCAATAAAGAGAAACCAGCGTTTATAAAGTGGGGATCACTCCTAGCCGGAAATTCAACTGTTAGCACCTGCCGACATTCGCGTTTCCGTTACTTGTGTTCATCCGCGTGTCGAGAGTCACGCAAAATACATATCGAAACGTGTCAGTTTTTATTACATCTTCCTGCCAAGTTCAAAATTGTGAAAATGTCACTGCCATTAGGGATCCTCTGCTGTATTTTTGCAGGTATTATTCACAAATTATGCAGATGGTTGAGAGACATTTAAAGTATATTTTTTTAGGAATCTCGCTCTTTAAATAGAACATCTTTCAGACGATTTTTATGCATTCTTTAAACGCTCGCTTATGTTCTTGTATTTTCGCTCGCCTGGAATTGTATTTTCATATTTATCGCCGAAAAATATTTCTTTTGTCGATTACCGAAAAATGTGATTCAGTCTTTAATCAAATCTTTATGTAATTTTTTTTATTGTTAATAATTATCAGAATTATTATACTTCGAAGTTATCATCAAGTCTTCCTCTCTGCGCTTTATCTCAATCACAATATATATCTCATCCACGTGTACAAAGTAATAGATCGATATTTAATGCAACTTTATTTGTGCTCCGTCATAACGTCATAACGTCACTCAAAATTGCCAATAATTATTAAACCGCATTTTTTGCGATTACATCATCGTTCGCATAGTAAAACGATGCTCGTTAAAGTCACTCGACGAGTCTCACGATTGGTTCCCCGATAGTCGGTATTATCATCCTTGATATGCCTCTTCTCTCGCCGTTCTGTCTCTTTCTCTCTCTCTCTCTCTCGTTCGACTGTAAATAAGAAATCTGTCAGATACTTAGGAAACGAGAAAAATTCTCGATACGTGATAAGCGTTAATTATTTCATGATTTTATAACTTCGATACCGATACGATAAACGTTAAATTCCCATTTATTTTCAAAGACTACAGATTCTTAGATACTTTTCGCGAAAAATTTACATTATCCTTAATCAAATTAAATTATAAATCGTATTCTGTAAAATATTATTATTCAATAATAAAATGACCAGAGATGTTCACAAGAAATAATAACATTAAAAATGTATGTGTACGAGCGTGCCATTCTTATAAATTATGAATTATTTGTTTTTATTGTTAACGCAAAGATATGTTTCTTACAGTTCCTGCTGCGATAAGTGCCGAAGACCGATACTCCTTTTTCAACATCGATCTCTTGCAGGTGAGAAGGTATATATGAATGAGAAGGTATATATGCGGCAATAAAGATTTTTCATCTTTATTTTGAAAAAAGTAGAAAAAAATTAGGCGCAATAAGTGCAATACAAAATCATGAGTTTCTGAGAACTTTGTTAATCAATTATTCGTCTGTATGAAGTATTTGTCTGAATTTTTTCTATTAATTTAACATTTTGGAATTTGTTCTCCTCTTTGCACTTATTTATTTTAATATAATATATTTTAACTTTTATTACACGAAATAAAACAACAATGTTTTAATAAAAAATTCAAGAGTATATAATACTGTTTTGTAATTTTACATGTAAAAGTACAAACGTTTTCTTTTTGTATTTATAATAGTTTCATGATTGCAGAGAGTGAACGAGGACATCGAGGGTAATTTAGTACTGTCTCCATCCAGTGCAAAAGTCGCCCTTACGAGTTTGGTGGAAGGTACTGGTGGTCGGACGCGTCAAGAACTTCTCGCAGCTCTGAGATTGCCACCGGAGGAATACGTCATTAGAAAATTAGCGAGACGCACTTTCCTGCCCTTGAAAGTAAATTAGAATTATTGAGATAAACTTGATCAATTCAACACTTTGCGCTGCTGTAGAATCTAGCAGTGTAAAAACAATATAAAGTAATCTTTATGCTATTCGCGACGAAAGAATGAAATTGATGGATATATTAAGTATACATTTTGGTGTCTCTGTAGTGTAGAAAATTTATGGATTTACATATCAGAAATCACATATATATATATTAGCGCTTTTGATTTTTTAACAGATACATCTTTCTTCTCTGAGAAATGCTTGATTTTTCTTCTTACATTTCGTATTATTTCAGAGCTACCAAAATGGCACGGAAATCGACGTAGCCACTCGCTTATGGATCAATCCCATTCTCATGGCATCCCCTAATTACATAACGACCTTGAATAATTATTACGGAGCCGATATCGAACGGCTAAATTTTGCAAACGCAAACAATGCGGCAAATGTAATCAACGGCTGGGTTCGCGAACATACACGAGATAATATCAAATCGATCATTCAGCCAGGTACATTTAATTTATCTATTAAGAATTGCAAAAGTTACTTCACAAAAGGAGTTTTAGGGATTTTATCTGGGAAATTATACACTTATATTGTTTAATCTGGAAATGTCGGTATCTTCCAGTTGAAAGATTTTATTAATATTTTGTTTCAGGCACTCTTAGCGCCGACACCCAAATACTGTTAACATCGGCCTTATACTTCAAAGGACGATGGTTGAAATCCTTCGATAGGCATGCCACGCGTCCGCGGTGTTTCCGTGTTCCCGCACGTGGTTGCCAAAACATTCTCATGATGGAAAATAGTTCCAAGTATCGGTACGGCTATATAGCTTCCCTCGACGCTGACGTAGTGGAAATTCCGTACTCGGTATGATTTCTGATTCTTATGTCACCGAGAATCGGTTTTAAATTTCTGGTATTTTTACGAGAACTCACATAATTATTATTCAATTTATATTCTTGAATTTATAAAATACCTCGCAGTATTTACATTTCTATAAATTCATTCAAAATATTTTAGGAGAAAAATTATTACAAATAAATTACACCAAAGCAACATTATTTTTATCTTAAAAAGATTCAATAAAAGATAAATTTTCCGTAATGTGGAATACGATATATAAAATACGGTACTTTTGTTACATTTTTTTGAAAGACTCTATTTCTTTCAATACTAACAAATATACGGAAATGTATATACGGTGAGATATTTTGAGAAATATTCATTATACGAAAGTCGAAATAAAATTTGTGTTTCAGAACGGCATGACGTCGATGTTGATATTTCTTCCGGCTCATGAAGAGAGCGATCCGTACCTCCAGATCTTATCCAAAGATCTGTCGTATGTTCCAATGAAAACGCTGCTAAGTAGTCTCAATGAAACTGAAGTGCTCCTTTCTATTCCGCGATTCAGCATTGAGAGCAAACTAGATTTACGTTCACCCTTGATGCGCGTAAGTATATTTATGAATAAAGCTATGAAAATTCTTGTTACAATTATTATGATAATTAGGTCACAATGGCATTTAAGTATAGTTATTAATAGTTATTGCAAGTATAACAATTATTCCTATTATTCCCAATTATTTTAAATTGTTCATTATTGTTTTATCATTATGTTACCAATATATATATGTATAGTTGAGAAAAAAGGAAAATAGATAAATGTAGTTTTCTATTATAGATGGGTGTATCGGACATTTTCGGCCCGGCAGCAAATTTCACGGGAATCGTACATAATAATTATTTACGTATAGGAAATATAATTCAAAATGCTAAAATAGAAGTCGATGAGGAGGGAACTATTGCTGCTGCTGTAACAGGTAATTACCAGTATAGTTTATAACATTCCTTTCAATTTAATGGAATTTAAAAATTGTTGAGTCAATGTTTATTTAATTACAGAACTCGCAGTTGTGCCTCTTATGGCTAACATGGCGTCAACTTTTATAGCAAACAGACCATTTATGTTTACTATTGTCGATCTGGTAACGAGCGAGACCATGTTTGCTGGTCGTTTCATGGGTCCTGCTACAGACAACAGAAGTGTTTAGAAATAAGTTTAATACTCAGGTTATTGTTTTTATATTAAAAAAATGCTCGTAGTATGAAAGATTATCATTTATGTATATAATACTGCTTTATGTGCTACATATTATGCATATATTATTGCATATTATATATATAATACTGCTTCTTGTGTCACAAGTAATGATTCAGTTATAATTAGATTGATGAAAGGAGATAAAAAGCCAAAGCTGGATGTTAGTGGCTTGTTTAATTTAAATCTTCTTGGTCCAAATTTGAGTACAGCGTATTTATAATATATACAACTTAAATTTGGAGCAAGAAGATTTAAATTAAACAAGTTACTAACATCCAACTTTGGCTTTTCATCTCCTTCCGTCATTCTGATTAGTTATAATTATCAGATAATGATTGTTTATTCTTTTATACTGAAATAAATGACAAATATTAAAATAAATAAAGTAAGCAATTTTGGCAGCATACCTTTGCAAAACACAGGGTCTTAAGAAACTTACTAGCATCAAGTTTAGTTGTTATTTATTTACATATTTGAAGATCTGGTACAGATCATTACATATGCAGCTAAAATAGAATGTCTCCATTCTCCTAAAATCTTTCATTCACTGCTCGTACTTGTCCTTTATGTGTTTCCATAGTTTCTGAAAAAAGAAATGGATCTGTTATGCAATCAATATCTTATATCACTTGTATATCAGAATATGAACTAAACATATCATTCTTATGCAGTATGTTGATGAATCGCGATATTAAAAAATGAGATATGACTTCGTTGTGCAATATTATATCTTTTTTTGTCACAAATGTTATTATGTTACCACAAATGCAAAATAATTTGGAACAACCTAACTTTATTTCAACATGTTAACCTAAACCTAAACTAAAAATACCAAATTTGACATTTATATATAAATATATTACACACATAATATTATCAAGATACATAATATTAAAGAATAAAAGAAATGTAAAAGAGCATGCTTACCCCTTTATTAATAGTGTCAAAAATCTTCTCTGAAGCCAAATCAAATCCCCTTTCGAAAATGAAAGCGGTAGCTATGATGGTAACCGTAAATGTAGATGTTCGTTTCAGAACGAGATTGTATAACGTAGCACCGAGACCCATTTTTTATTATATTTTCAACTTCTACAACGATCTTGTTCGAAAATGACAATTGTCATAAGCAAAAGCTCCGAGAAATTCTTACAATTACGGTAACCACAAAGTAACGATAAAGTAAGATAATACCTCCCAAAATTGGCACGAAACAGCAGCGACGCTCTGTGGCACAGTATTTACAATTGAAATATAACTATAAATTTTATACAAACTACTTAGTTTACATTATTATTAAAAGAATTTGACGAGCATTTTAACACTGTCAAAAATAGCACAGAAGCGAAAATAAGCATGTAGAAAGATTAAGATTACTCATTGAAGCGGCCCGAATACATCATTAATACCATACGCACGCGAAGCTACGTATGTGCACGTGAATTCCGCGCTTCAGACACTAGAAAAGAGCAGACATACTATTTCTGTCTCCTTTCATAGCGGCCATTTTAGCGGGGATTTTAAAATTTTATTAACAGGAGCACATGATGATTTAGGAGCTCATTTGTAACAGTGCAATCGGTACACTTACCATCAATGCATTTGTAATGTTGCTTTAGCTAATCAATAGATAGCACTGTTATGAGTAAGCTCCTTTGTCATCATGTGCTCCTGTTAACAAAATATTAAACTTCCAATTAAAATGGCGCGTTTCAGATTGTTCCAACGAGTAACTAATCTTTCTACATGCTTATTTTCGCTTCTGAACCACTTTTGACAGTGTTAGGATGCTCGTAACATTTTTAAATAATTTACACGATTTTTAAAATGTTTTTGGAAGATTTTTTATAAGAAAATTTAAGATGCCAATTGTTAATAATTTGTTAATTAAATATTAAAAGTCGGGTTCTTAGCTTTGATAAAATGATTATACAATTCTTAATCATATCTCAGTCAGATTTTGACGGTATTAAAATGCTTATAAAACTCTGAAAACATTTCCATTGTCTTGTTTTATCTTGTTAAAGTTTATTAATGTTAATGTTTATTAATGTTAATGTATATTAATGTTTGTTAATGTTAATTATTTTCATCTTCTGATATGTATAATCGAAGAAACATGCAATATCGTCTTCATTGCCTCGTTTCAGCGAGATAGAAAAAGCAGTATGCTGTTTTTTTCTATTGTTTGCACATTTACGCTGTTCTTGGTTGTATTCTCGATTGTGCATGTGGTTCCCTCCCATTCCCTCCATTACGGTTTATCGGAGGCCGCGGCTCTCCGTTCTGGAATCATGATAGTTCTGTGAAAATCAGTGAATATGTTTGTTGTTTTCTGACTGAGACACGCGCTTAAATTTGAAAGATCTCTTACGAAATTATTGAATAGAAATCTGTAGAAGGAATTAGTTCGTGCACAATGCTGGCAACTAATTGTTTGATTCTGATTCAACTCACACTTCTGGTAAGCTCTTTTAATTTCAGTGTTTTATTTGCAATTTATTAAAATTATGTTATATCTCTTGAAAGAGATCAAAACAATTATGTATATAAGCAATATTTTTTTGTGTATTTAAGGAATTATGTTGTGTATATATTTATTTGAGGATAGTGATTGTAACAAATATGTTTTTTTCACAGGCATCCACATCTAAAAAGCAAGACAGTGTTATTTGCAGAAGGAATATTAAAAAAATCAAGCTAACAGAAAAGAGGAAAGCAGATATAAAAGCTGATTTGTTTGATTGAGATGGCACTGGAAAAGTTGTCACTAAAGTTGCTATTAGAGTTCTAGTCATTGAACTAACAAGTGAGAAATTGGAGACTCACACAGCAAATATTAATCTACTGATAAGTTTATTTATAAAAATTTCTTGCATGGAATGACTGTGAAAATGTCAGAGAAAAAGATATAAAAAAGAATGTATTAAGAATTCAGAAAGTGCAGTTGAAAGGTTATGAATTCTATCATATGATATTCTGATAAAGAATTGACGTTCTGCAAAAATGTGTGAAGTTGTTGTCTTGTTCGAGGGCTATTCCAAAGAGTTGGACGATGGAAAAATGGATGCAAATTGCTCTTGCATTCTAATAAAAGGCTCCAAACTGATTATTGTCGATACTATGACTGCCTGGGATCGTGAGAAAATAATAGAAGGTATAAAAGATATAATACACTGAGATTTCATAATGTTTCTCATTATAAATAATAAATATTGTTTTGTTCAAATATATGTATATGTTCAAATATAATTACAAATTAATTTTATCTTGTTACAACAATCTGATTATTATATAATTAGAAGTATGCATTGAAAATTATAATTTATTTATTCAATGTAAGTATATATATATAGTTTTAGTTTAATTAATTATATTAATTACATGAAAGTAATCATATTTTGTATCTAACATATAATCAATTTTCTTTTTCAGAGCTTGCACAGCACAATATTCAAGCGACGGACATCAATTATGTTGTTTGCACTCATAGCCATGCAGATCACATAGGGAACAACAATTTATTTACAAATGCTGAACATATCGTGGGTTTGTCTGTTCAACGCGGTACCATATTCTATGAGGATCCACGAATTTCAAATGGTTGAAACTATTAAAGCTTTATATGTAAGAATATTGAATATTACTTATTACTAACAAAATTCTCTTGTAAATATGTAGAAGGCTACGAGCTCTGTCCGGGCGTTAAAGTTATAGCCACACCTGGGCATACAGCGGAGGATGTCACTGTCCTCGTGGAATCGATAAGAGATGGCGAGACGACGGTTTTTGCTATTACAGGTATCTACAGGTTTCAGAGAATATTGATGTACCTTTAGTAAAACATAAATAAATGCATTAGCTTGTAAGAAAAAATTGTCAGTTTTTTTCTATCTTATATGTAGCTATATGTTTAGAAGTAAATATTTCTAATTTTATACTTTTGCAGGAGATTTGTTTGAGAAAGAGGAAGATATTCTAACGCCGTCCATCTGGAAGTCGCTGGGCGCACCGAAATTGCTACAAACCCAGTCTGTTATGCGTTCCCGTATAATAAACCTCGCAGACTTTATAATACCTGGGCATGGGCCGATGTTCCGTGTTACGGACGCTATGAGGGAAACTGTAAAGAGTCAGATAGTTAAATGACAGTAAAAATGGTATGTCTAATGCTAATTTTATATTATTTTATCAAGGAAACAAAGAAAATATAATGAGAATAGATTCTCTATAAGCAAACATATAATTAATTAAAATAAACTCTACGTGTTTTTACAAATACTTTATTAAACATTGCAAAGTGTGGTACATGGTATCACAACATTATTATACTCATTGTATATATATGTGTATATTGCAATTATTACACATTACATCGGATTCACAAATATATATATATATTTATATGAAGGAGCGATACGTTCACTCTTGCATTGCGCTCGCTACAAAATGATCACGCACAAAAAAATCAATGTAAATTACTTGAAAACGATTCTTCACGATGTACACATGTTTATTTCAATCAACTCGCGAATTGTTACATGTCTGGCAAATACACCGCTATTTAAACACCCTTCCGCACTTAAGATCCGCACTCCTAATATCTACACCCTACGATCGCAAACAATTTTATCAAATCTTCACAGCCAACGACTAAATTAAGAACCTTCTTGCATCTTCGTTCGGCATTCGCATTCTTATCTACGGATTATCTTATAATTGGTATAAGTTTCTGGAGGAGGAGCACATTTATTTCATCATAAACGTAATTCATAACGACGCCGGGAAGCCGATAAGCATATCCTTTCCGAAGGTACAAATTAAAGTGAAATATCTTTTTAAATCTGTCTTGTATATTGACGTATATAAGAACTTTAAGAATGCATGATATATTAAGGCTCCCGGCTGCCCTTCATTGCAACCATATCAGATTATATTGGAAGCGAAAAATCTTGTGAATCTTATACTTTGGAATTGGAATGATTATTTTCGCTTTGATGAAGCTTTGATTAAGAATAAAATATCGTCATTGAAAGAGAAAAAATTTTTTAATCTTTCTCTTTTGATAATAATATTTCATTCGTGTTAGCAACTTTGCTAACAAGTTTTACACTTAATTTAAAGCTTATCAAAGCTGGAAATAGTCACTTTTGATTCCTTTTTTCAGCGCACTAGTGTGAGAGAGAAATATTTTATACTGGAAATCGATTTGTTTGCTCGCAACATCATATTTCAATGCGACTGTAATGAAGGGCCAGCGGAGTTCTCCAAGTGTTACAATGTAAATTGTAAGATCGAGTGCCCTGCACTCTGTAAGTAGTTAGCTAGGATATACTTTGTACACGGAGCGGCAAAGTCAACTTGCCGATTGCTCGAATTATCTAAATTAAGTAACTCTACGAAAGATCCGTTTGCGCTCACACGGCTTTCCACCCGTCCTCAAATCACTGCTACAACGCGGAATAGAATCACGAAATATGTAATATATATATATGTAAATAAATATATACATATAGAAATAAATCGATATACAATTCTTCTCGCGTATCTTCAGCGAACCAAACTCAGTTTTCGTCGAGTTCTATCGCATGATTATTTATATTCGGACGCACATCAATTGGATACGGATCGATTTTTACGTCACGGAATATTTTTACTTCACCGACGTATCAATTGTAATTTTCGCGTGATGATCTTCATCGAGAATACTAAAATTAGATCTCACGGAGAAGTAATCAATATCGACGAAATCGAAAGCGAAACCAACAGATGGAATCTTTTTCCGGTCAAAATGCGATCCGTTTTCCGATTCGGCGTGCGTTAAAAATAGGAGGAAGCACGACTAGTTCATTGAAAAGCTTTAGCTAATGAGCAACTCCGATGTGTACGATTGTAGATTTCACTGTGCTTATCGCGAACTTTCTTCGTTCATCGGTTGCAATCACTCGAAAAGACTCGTCGTCAAAATCGGCAGCATGTTGCGACATTATAATATCAGTTGGTGTTTAATTTTACGATCAATTCATACAATTTGTTTGTCATTTCGGCTGAATGAAGAATTTTCGAAACAGTTACAATTCACAATTCTAATTTATAACAAATGATTTCGCACACAAATTACACACACACACACACGTCACGCGCACACACAAAGATCTTTTAAGAAAAGAGGAAAACAGGAATTATTAATTTTCAGATCTGAAATCTACCTGCGGCCGATTTTGAGCTGACCGCCGGATTAATTGTACGAGAACGAGAGCGAGGTAAAAACGGAACGTGTGAGCGGCGCGGCAATGAGAAAGTTTCTACAAGTGTCTGCCGACCAGACCTGGCAGGGCGACTCGTGTGTGCAGCGGTAGTGGTCCCGGACTAACTTCTCCCATCATCATCACCGTCCCCGGCTGTCCCACAAAGTATTAAACACACATCAAGAATCGACTCCAGGATCACGCCTCTCGACACATCGACACCACATTTAACGGCGTAATAAAACCGAATGACTTTCGTATGTCGTACACGCTGAGATTACTGTTATTTGCAGAAGAGGATGAAGCGGCCAACTTGTTAAGACAGGGCCCGGCTTCGAACGGACTCGATTTCAAGAAGAATCTAAGTCGCGGCACGAATCAAGTAGCGTATCGATTCTAATATCATTCACAAATTTACGTATTGTGTCTCGATCTCTCCGATTTCCTACTTCAATTTTCTTTTCTCTCTTCTTTTTTTTTTTTTGACGGTTTGCTGTGTATAATATTTGTTGATCGAATGTATTAGTGTTCGAGAAAAGAACAATGACGATAATGATCGACCAATCAAAGTTTCGTTGCTCAAAGAATTACATTACGTAACACATTGACTTTCTTACCGAAAATTGTAAGTAATAGAAAGTATTTGACTACAAACATAAGTGTGTGAGCCTGTACATCACCGCCAGGTATCTCTCAGCGAGAAAATATATGCTAGAGAAATTAAGTGTCAAACTGGATCTTTCAATAACATCAAAATAAAACTACAACATCTTAACATTAATTGTAACACTTAATAATTAATATTTAAATGTAGGTAGGTAAACAGTTTACCGACAAATATATCTATACACGCTGCGGCTATGAGGTTTCCGGACTGTGCATTAATAAGAAATAAAATTCATGTTAGAAAAAAATGTCTTAGCGTTCAAAACAACACACGCTTGTGTAACAATTCACGAGTTTGTTTTATTTAAGAGATTATTTTTATATTTTATATTTTAAAAATAGCCACTTTGTTCTGTAAGTACATCACATTTCTCATTTTGCAACTTGTATTTCTACTACTTGTAGTTTATAGTATTCGAATATTTTTTATGCAATTCATCGAACGTCCTATTAACTATTTCTGAAGTTATTCCGTATATAGCATTGTTAGATTCTTAAAAAAATTCAGTCCGAGAATTTCATAACCGTGTCATGTACGAAATAAATCATAAAATATATGTAAAAACTGACAAAAATCATATTCACAACTGCGATCTACGTGCAGAGCTTCTTCTCAACTCATCTGTGAATAAATAAAATAAAAAATGTACAACTAAAAAGGAAAAACAAAAGTAAATAAATACATGGTAAAGTAGTATGTTATGGCATGCAGATATTAGATATCAGTAATGCCGGCGGCGCGATTGCCAGATAATTAATGACAGAAATATTATTCGACCGCATGCAGAAGAAACTCGAGAAGCACAGCGAGTAAAAAAGATATTCGACCGTCGTCTCTTTTAGAGTAATTTTGAATAAAGAAGAGAAGTGTCGCTATTTTGCGTCATTCGATATGCAAGCGAAAAAGTAATATGTTCTGTTAAACATATTTTGTAAAATCTTTTCCCTTCGACGCTATCCAAGAGTTTTCGAGGTGTGCAAATATTTGTTTCACCCGCTGTATCGGCTTATAAATAAATTTAATTTTGTACAGAGCATAAATAAGTCTCGCAAAAGAAGGAATAAAAATCACAGCAGCTATAGAGCCTGTTCCTCGACACGTTCTTCGTCTCGATATTATCAGTCGCTATTAATCTTCGTGTATTGGAAATTTAGTACTGAAAATTATGTTTAATGCTCGGTCGCACAAGTGTCACGGTAAATTTGGCAAATATCTTTGGTGTTGAAGAAAAAAAGAGAAATTCGGAGCTCAGAGTACTTGCAAGCCCAGAATCTTCGTTTCTTCCTTGACATCCTTACGTACAGCTTTCGAGATAGAAATATAAAATCTAAGCAAAAACCACAAAGTGACACTTCTGTTCTCTACGTTAACGCTACACGTACATGTTAATACTTTCGAAAAAAGTCACTGCGTGTTACAGCTATTACGGAATTATTCAGAGAGAAGAATGTGTCTTTGGTGGATCGTTCGTCGATCGTAGCTTTTCCAGCTACAACGTTCGTAACGGAATGAATCCCTCCATTCCGATGATTCTGAGGTCTTCGTCATCGGAATCGGAATCATCATCATCGTTTCTCTCTCTCTAGAAAAACCGATTTAAAAAAAATGTGCGATCAAAACAGTGCGCTCCGCAAATATCTTTTTTTTTCTGTAAAAAAAAGCAAGACAGCGCAAAAATCGGAAGCTGATTCTCTTTTCTTTTCTCTCTTACAAACACATTAAACATAATTTTCGAATTGAATGTATACGTAAATAATTGATCGTATCGTTATGATACAAATATCACACGGTGCTACGATTTTATCTCGTTACATCTATCGTAGGCAATCACTGACTAGAATAGTTAATTGCGTAGATAAGTCACTCCGGCGGAAAAGAGCGCGCAGTTTCCAGCGTTATTCGCGCGCAATGATTCCGTATATCTCACAGTTCGTCAGTTCACGCACAATGTTAGTTAAAGCAGAGCGAAAAGAAGTTGGTTTGCGTTGATAAACAGCGATACATACATGTCCCGTATTCTTAGGCAAGCGGGTTGATTAGATATTCACAGTGTATTTACAATTTTCATTGTCATTTTCGAGACTGAGGCATCGAGTGCGATAACAGTGTGAAGCTTGAAATTTAATTATGATAAACGACACAATAGTATAAATGTTACATTAAATGATTTACTTTAAAACATACTTTAAAACACGTCATTTTACATCTTCGTTAAAATCTACTTTCGAGCCCTCAGATTGAATATTTTACGCTGTTATCGCATCGCGATTCTCAATTGTGTTTTCACCGCTGTTTCCCTCGAGAAAGTTACATTACTCAGATGAAAAGTTACATGCAATGAACATTCAAGCTCGCGTTTTATACGAAAGAATGAAAGAAAGAAGAGGCGAATAGCGATTGATGAACGATCTGTCGCGCGGTTACATTTTCTCTATATTGTCTATATTGCTTGCATACGCAGGGCGAATCGCATCGGAAAAAACGGAATATTTCAAGTATTTCGTTTCCGACATAGGACTCATCCTGCATATGAAAAGAACACATGTCAAAGTATCATTTACACAGTGTACATGTAGCCGCGAGGCTATTCTGGTTCATACACTTAAATGCTTACAGTTGAAGTGGAAAAAAAACCACGAATAGATGCGTAATACCATCTTCATACAAAGCGAACAAGGCATGAAATTTAGCGAATCCGGATATAACAGTCGAACGCGAAGTGTAAGTTACATAAAAGTGAACAAAGTCAATTGTAATTCCGGTCACGCGATCGATGTACACGAAATACGTATATGCGACTCTTTTTTTCTCTCTCTCTCTTTCTCTTCTAAAAGAGATTAGGTACACAGGAAATTGGCGGTGTTAGGCTTGCTGTTAATTCTACCTTCTGTGTAAATTGAGAATTACATAGGGCTCGTCCGGATTAGTGCTGACGTCTGTAGTGCTGTTGTTAGGCTGATAGCACGGGTTAACAGTATAATTGAGATTAGGCTGATGAAAACTCACCGGTTGTACGCTAGTCCTGCGCCGCTCCATCTCGCGATCTTCCAGGCAGAAATCAGAATCCGAATCGGCTCTTCTCGCTACGTCGTCCTAAAACATTATCACAATGTATCTCTCTTTCGAATAGAATGGATTTTAGAACAATTTTAAATACAATAGAATTTCTATCGATACTTTTATACATTAAATTGTATGTACATTACAGACATCCTGAGAGAGAAATCTTATAAATTCGTAAATTTAATTATGAAAAGTATGGCTCTTGAAGAACGAAAGAAAGCTGTGAACCAACAAAAAATTGTTCTCTTAATTTTCTTCTTCTCTGATCACTTTTTACTCTAATCTTTTTAATTTGTCATATCTTTTACGTTTTGATACTCGCGCCTTTTTTGTAAATCGAATGTTACAAATTATTGCA